GTCAGGGGTTAAGCATCGGTGTGTCTGCAGAGGCTGGTCATGGTGGGCAGTGGCTCATATCAGGTAGCTCATCAACGAAGGATCTGTTTCTGATGTCATTCTGGTCCCTGTGGGCATCTCATACGACTGTGTGACTAGGACCCTTCACAGCGTTCAATGAAGGACCAGCAGGTTCTGGAGCAGCTTTTTTCCCACTGCCATTAGACTGTTGAACTGTTGAAAGCTCTAATATGAAACATCATATATGCACTTCATGGTGAATCTTCAAAATAGAACTCGACTCAAAGTTTCAAGTTTCTACTGCATTTTGCACCATATCTATTTATTTAATTTTGCCCTGGACTAATCTTTCCACATCAATGCACATTTGCACCATGTCTCTTCTAAACTGGTGACATTTTGATCACTGCTGCACTTTATAAATGGAAAACGTTGATTTTCACTGCTAAGCTGCGGCTCATTGACCGTCGAAAAGCTGTATAAACACAATTTCATTTTGTATACATTTTGTATACACATAGTGTATACAAAATTACTATAAAGTGTCTCAGTCTAAGTCCATTTCAGGCAAAAATTTTAGGGAATTGCTAGATTCTCCTGTTTGGCTTGGTATGAGGTTTTATTGTTTGTTATTTCTGAAATAACTGATGATGCATAGATTCCATATCATATCATAGCACAATAAACTCAACAGAAATTATTCTTTATTGGTATTTTGTGGACTTCACTGCAAGCAGCTTTAGTTATATTCTCTTTGCTTAGAGAATCTGATAAACATTTGTAGAAGCGGAATGGGTCAGTTCTACTTGGCATGGTGGTTAGAGGGGTATGTTTGGAAGAAGGTGGAGGAACAGTCTTGTTTCCTCTGCTACTTTAGCCCTATTCATGTTGTTAGATGTTAAAGTCAAAAAGCTTCATCTTAATTAATCTTGCAAATCAAACAAAAATCAGCTGTGTAACTGTGCAACTCAGAGACCGATTTTCAAAAATGTTCCAGCCCTAAATTCAATTTAAATCAAGTTCCATTAATGTCTTTATATGCTTTGCTGCATTTAAAACGTTGGTTTAAATCTAAGGGTTATAGATAGAAGGAAATTCAAGGTTTTTCAGGATTAACCACAGACGAAACAAGTATGTGCACAAAAAAAGAGCAAAAGAGCCTGAGAATGTTTGCCTGTGGGAGCTTGTTGGAGATGAATTTGACATCTCAACACTCAACATCCAGCAGCGTCCAACATTCAACAGGCTGCATCTACAGAGATCAAACCCGTCTAGATTACAGTCCTGCTGCCAAGCTTTCAACAAACAAAGGAAATGGCCCATTGCCCCATCGCACTCACAGAAAAGTTTTGCTAGAGAAAAAAATAAAGACCTCTCTTAAGGTATTCAACAAATGCAAGTTTATTTGAAGTATAGAGAAGGAAAAATGAAAGTCTTTTTTTTCTGGACTTGCACTCCATATGACAGCAATTTGGGACTATTGTATGTCTTGGCTTAGGCGTGTGGTCTATGATAGATGACAAGGGAGAAAATCACAAGCCATTGGCTCAGACACAGACATGCAAATTGCTTTCAGCTGATTGCTGAATTCTGCTTGATATTTATCAAGTGGATTACAGCATGAGTCTTTATTTGCCGACAGGAAGCAGCTGATTGATCCCACCGCAGGAGGGCAAACTGGAAGCTGAAGGTTTTCCTCCACCAGGTGAAAGTGCAAACCCTTTTAGTTTGTGGAGAACATTCAGAGATCTGATGTTTCCTTAAGCTAATTTTTACTTTAACACAACAAAATAGATGCAATCCAGAGATCCAGGATTGTGGGGATCACACAGAAATACCCATTAAATCTAGTTTTAATAATGTGCTTTGACTTTTTGAAAATGCTTTAATCAGATCTGGTTACAGCAAATATGGAGAAAGGTTTATGTTCTTTGTCTGTATCCACCTGGGGAATGTAGCATGACTTTGTTATTTGCAAGCTACAGGAAATGATCAGCCTCTTCAGTGGCTAAATGCCACAACAGCTTATTAACATCAGGCTGGGGAAATAAATTACAGGACATTAAATTCCGCAGTGAAGAAACTTTCTTCCCAGATCAAAGATAGAAAACACATAACAAAGAAATGTGTTTTGGCATCAGTTCATATAGGCGGGATGGTTCGTCTTCAACATGGCTCACATGTGGCTGCTCTTCTGTTAGATGGCCAAATCAAATTACAGTGTTAAATCAAGTGGAGTGAGCTGAATAAATGCCTCGATGTCATGGGTAAGTTCTGAGAAGCAAATGAAAAATAAATACCTGAAAAAAGTGTCTAAACATACTTATTTGCAGATGAAAGAAACTAAAGCTGCTGTATAGAACAGTGCATGTGTGGACAAGCTGCTTGGAGAGTTCCATGTCTGCTGTGATAACTAGTGTTTTGTAAATTACTAATCCAAAGAAATAATCTGAAACTACTTAATCTAAGGCGTAATTAAACATCAGACAGGAAGTTCTTTATGATTAGTTTCATTTAAAATAAACCTAAAGAAAAAATTAATGGTAGCTCCAATCTATCAATAATGGTCATAATTAACAATGAGTGTTTCTGTTTCAAGGTCTACTTGAAACAGAAACATTTGACCCCCACATGTTGACAGTGAGCGTTTTTTGGTTGTGCATCAAATTACTCTGATTATAGGTTTTTATTTTTTTTATTTAATCCTTTTGTTACTCTATGATTCAGTGAATTACATAACAGATTTGTTGTCCGTGTATCAACCCCCCAGACAAGTACAGTGGGCTTTTGCCCACTCTGTACACCCAGAACTAGAACCAAACATGGAGAAACAGCTTTCAGTTCCTATGCTCCACTTATCTGGAACAAACTCCCAGAAGACTGGAGTTCTTTTAACTCATAGTTTAAAAACCATTTGTTTAGAACTGCCCTTGGCTTTTAAACTCTTGACTGAGGTATTATTAGTTTAAGTTTGTGGTCCAACTGTTTTATTTGCCTCACTACCTGCTTTTATCATGCTTTCATTTTTACTGGCTTTTATAAAAAATAAACTTCACTTGCCTATTTAAGAAATATACTTGAAATGAATTGTTTTGAAATAAAATAGAATAAAACCTTTCGAAAAGATGGGAATATTTATTGACATGAGCTGTAAAAACAATATGTTTTGAATAAAATGACAAGTTTGTTTCTTGGAATTTGGAAAATACTGTTGTTTTAGTAAATATTGAGCATGATCACTTGATCCAGTCTTTGAAAATGACCCAGCTCATTTCTTCAGCCCTAGATCTGTTTTGGTTCTCCGGTCAGAGATCAGCTTCCTACTTAATCTGGTAACAAGGTCCAGAGGGAAAATGACTTCCTTCCAACTCACCTGCAATGACCCGCAGCAATCAGGACTAAACTTGTTCCTAATCTAAAAAAAACAAAAAGAAATCCAGTCGGTCAGCAGACGTACAGCCCTCCACCACTCACCCAGCCTCCACCAACACCTCCTCCCTCATCAGCCTGGCTCTGAGTGGAAGTGTTTCAGCTGTCACTTTAAATAGGCTCAGCAGTGGGACTATTGAAGCGGGACTCGTGTGTTTAGTTTGATTTCATCTGCAATATCCTGAGGCTCTGTTGATCCCCACGACTCTGAGTTTAGAGCAGCTGTTGGTTAGTGTCGTGAAAAGGTAAATGTTGCTGAGAATCAACCTGGAGATGGTTGGAAGTCAAATGGGAGCAATGGAAATCCTCCAAGATTATTTGTGGACTGTGCAAAAACAAATGTGAGTACAGTGCTGAAAGCAGAAAAATAAGCCCCAAGTGTATAGAGTTTGCTTTTTAGTTTATTCTTTCAACTGTCATCATTTAGGATGTAAACAATTAAACCCTGATGGCATCTACTCTAGAATCAGGTTGCTTAAATTCATTTTTTTCTCTGTAAAATTCTTCTTAGCGCACGGAAGGATATCTAAGTCTGCATCTACAGGTTGTTAGCACCAACTTCTACAGTAGGACCATCTCTGCTCTTCATGCTGCAGTTTTCACAGCATAAATAGTTTTTTTGCTGTGGCTACTTAGAAATAGCAGAACTAGATTAAAAACAAGAGATATACAAATACTTTCTGCTGTCACAGCAGTGTGCATAAAACCTGAGCCCTTTATAAAAGGAGTTGGGGATCACAGAGTGTGTAAGGGACAAAGAATCCATGTATAGTAGATCTGTCTTGTGTCACTCTAAAATAACTAGGGCTGGGCAATCAATTGCAATATAATGGCAATATGTGCAATTATATGGTTAAAGTGGGTTTGCAACCACACAAAAGGGAACAAAGGGATGCAACTAGCATGCAAATTCATGCATGCAAGTAGAATTTTGAACTTTTTCACACCGAAGTTACAGTCAAGCCTTGCAATGACTGGCTCTGGACAGGCATGCTTTCACAGTCATGAAAATACCTAAAACCTGCAGAGAAACATTTACATGACTGTGGCTAATGTTAAGGCAAATGAAATTGCAACTGCAATAATGGTTCAAAATGACCACAAGTTAAATTTTTTGGAAAAATCGTTCAGTTCTGATGCCTGCCATACCTATATGTCTCTAAATTGTTGAACTACTTACAGTACTTACAAGTATCTCGGCACAAAAACCTCCTGTCTAAGTCTGAGCTTGAAGTTGGGTTGCAAACGTTTTTGCTGAAGTAATTTGATCTGACTTAGAATAGTAACATTATTCATATAGCTTTAAGTACATTTTAAGTGTTTGGATTAGACCACCAGCTGACTCCAGAAGAGGTCTGTCCTCTCTCACCATCATCTGCAACGTCCACCAGGTTTAAACAATAATGTTGTAAGGACTCTCCAGTGTGTGGCTCTGTCAGAAACTCCATCTGAGATAACACACGATGCCTGTGCGCCTGTCCCTGCCCTATCAGTCTGATTGGATGGCTTTACAACTGAACAGGAAGTCTGCTAATCTGTAACCCGAACCAGGGAAAGGAAGGAAAAAGGAACCAGCCTCCAGTGCTTTCACCCATCATATTAATCACCCGAGTCAGACTGAGCCTCATTTACAAAGGGGAGCATGGCTTAACTAAACATCTTCTCCATAAAATAAATGCTTCCAGGTTACTCCCCGCTGCAGGTTTCATTCAAAGGAGCATCTGATTCCAATTACAAGGAATGCTATAGGAAGCAGCGCGCCTCGTCAAAAAGAAAAAACCATGGCAACGGTAGAGGAGCTCAGTACCGAAATGAGCATCACAGGTACTCGTAAGGCGGGAAACGTTTATTTGATAAATTAGATCCTGATGCGTTTCGTATCAGTTATATGTACTGTAACTGAGAGAAATGTTGGTCAGTATTCTGATGCCCAGATAGGAAAGGTGTACGGAAACTGCTTTTAACACAAAAAAACAGATGTTTTTATTTTTTTTAATTAATTAAGAAAGTCAAACAAGGCTTACTGTATCTTCGGAAGAACATGGTTTACTTTGGAAACACCATGCATTTCTTTTGACCACCATGTTGCAGGGATGTTCATTCTTCATTGACCAGCTGTCTTCCAATTACTGACCACCAAAGAACAACATGGTGAATGGCAATCAGGAGACATTAGGAAAACAGTAGTGTTGCTTCTGCCTGATCAGGTTCTCTTTCATAGATAGTTTGTCAAACTGATTATTTCCTTAAAAAAAAAAAAAACAATACAAACCTACAGTACTAAGAAGCCTGTGTTTTAAAATGTATTTATCTGTTAAAAGTGCCTCAATTTGAATAATCAGTAAATTTTATTTTTTGTGGTTTTTTAACTTCCCATGAAAACACAGGAACAAATTGCACCTGTAACAACAATAATTTAGGACTTTATTTTCACATTAAAATAACTAAATGCTCAGACCCCATTCAACAAGCAGATCTGGATGTTGTTGTTGCTTTTCAGGATAACTCCCTTCTTTTTTTCATGGTTATGATTTTACAGCAGCTTCGTGTTTTTCATATGATATTATTGGCACAATGATAAAAATTTTTAATTGTTGTTGCAACATTGTGCTCAATAAAAAAAAAAAACAGGACTACTTTTAAGCTGTAATAAAAACAAGGTGGGGTAAAAAGTGTATACTGAGATTAATATGAAGAGGCTAAAAATATGTTCAATCCAACAAAATCAGATTGTTACGTTATTGTGGAGCGTTTCTAAATAAGTGTTACCGGTAAGTCTATATCAGGTTTGTTTCGAAGGATCAGCATTTAAGAAACCTGAAATCTTATTTTGATGAAAATACTTGAGATGTGCACATTATTTAATCTCATTAGTGTGATTGCAAGCTTGAGTATCGTTCCAAAGTACTTTTTGGAATTATCATCGGCAGTAAGCCCCTTACAAATACTAAATATGAACGTTTCATAGTGTTTTTTTCTTGTTTAGAAACATCTTTAAATACATCTATTTAAAGACTGTAACGTTTTGTAACAAATAAGGTACAGTATTTTCTCCTTATTAAAAACTTTTTTGTAATTTGAATCATTCTGAAAACAAAAATAACTGTATATCACCGAAAAATAAAAATTCATAGCAAACCAAAACATTTTTGGAATCATGCTTTGGTAATTACTGACTTTACTGAGTAAAAACAAGTCATTAAATCTTTAGTAACCACTCACTTCAACAACGGGTGCTATATAAATGACCAGTAGGGGGAGACAAAGCTTTTTATGCCTATTCCTAAACGATCATATATAACTATATAAATGCTGTTTGTTCCAGATATCCGATAGGGGGCGCTGTTGAGAGCCATTTATTTTGGCAGTTAAACAAAGATGGGACAGGCTATTATTTTCTCTCAAGGACGTTCCCTTCTGAAGCATTAAAACCAAACATTAAATCAGAAATAATAAAATATATATTGAATAAACTCATCAAGCTAAAATGATTCAAAACCTTTAAATTATTATGAAATCATAAAATGCTTTTCAGGCTCAGGTACTTGGAACAAGCTCATGCCAGTTGCAACAGCTGACTCGGTTAACTTCTTTCAAATTGAATTTTATTGTAAAAATAGTCTTCATAATCCAGAACATCTCAGAGTAGCAAAGTCAAATGCAGAGTCAAAAGGTGTTGCAACCATCCCCAGCCTGATTCAATGTGTGTATGATTGTTTGTCCTGCATTGCCTGTGAAGGTCACCTAAACCCGAACCCTCATCGTCAGGTACTTGGAACTGTTCAAAGTCTCCAGTACAAGTCTCCCCCTCAAGTTTGTGATACTAACTTTTTTTTTTTTTCTGATATTCAGTATTTGTTAGAAAACTACACAGAGTAACTTATAACAGATCCATCTTGCAGCAGTGTCAAACAAACTGCTTGTTTTTAGACAACTTTGCTCCCATTTGATCTCATTAATCTGTATTGATTAGTTTACCTTCTCAACAGGGAGAAAAAAAAATTACCTTTTAACACACGTTTAAAAATCTGAATTCAAAGAACCTGCTTTAGGTTGTCTCTTTAGCTTTCTAAATAGAGGAAGTGGAAGGCGTTTTGTGACCTCCCACTCTCGTTTTGATAAAGCCAGTGAGAATAACAGACAGATGGAAGAAAGCAGTCTTCCTCTATTTCTCAGAATAACACTGCCTGTGAACCAATATCTTCAGAACACGCAATTTCATTCAAGCCATGAGAGGTGAGTCCTGAGAATACAACCGTACTTTATTTGGGTCCAGGAAATATTTTTATAAGATGCTTTTTTTATGTAATGTGAGATATGAGAGGGTAAAATGTATAATTTAATTTGTATTGCTTTCACAGGGTTTAGTCTCTTTTCCATCTTGGTGGTTATGATGCTGCCCAGGAGCTCGTCCTCAGGTGCCGCTGACATAAGAGCTGGTGAGCAGGTTTAATATGACTAATATCACAAAATTTGATCTAATTTCTTGGCGGAAAAAAAGTAAATCCAAACTTGACTGGCCAAATATATATCTCCTAAAAGTAAGATCATCTGTGTATGTCAACCTTAGCTGCATCAAGGTAAAGCAGTGACCCTACAGTAAGTCTTTAAAATCGGTTTGAAGGACTTCAGTTCACTCTTCTCTTTTGTTTACTGTTTATATTTAGCCACACTGGAAGATTTCCTGAACATGTTTAGGGTTATCTCGCTTCATTAAATTTTTCAATTCAATTTATTTACATAGTGCCAATTCACAACACATGTCCTCTCAAGGCACTTTACAGTTCACCAGATCATACAGTCACATTGATTCAAAGTTTGCTATCTAAGGAAAACCAGTTGATTGCATTGACTCAAATGCAATCTCTCACACTAAGCATGCTTGTAGTGGGTGTGCACACACCCCCACCCCCACCAAATTGGATAATTAACATGGCTCCAAACTTAAGTAATGAGTTTTGCCTTGATGCAAAAGTTGCTTTTCATTTGTGTTTGTGACCTCAATGAGCATCTAGGAGGCTTCACCATCATTCCTTGATTCCTCCTCTGATGTCTCATGGCTGTAACTTAGCTTAACTGGGTCCAAAAGGCTTATAAATGTAAGAATTGAGAAGCAATAAGAATGTTGTAAGATTTTGTTCTTTAATTCATTTAGGAAGGTTTATTATGTTGTTTTTGAGATTATTCACCCTACTTCGTGTTGTCTGACAAGTTTTAAATAGTTGATTTCTTGATTCTAGTCCTGTTGAACTAATCAAGTCTTGATAAGTTTGGTCAAATTAGTCCTTAAGATGTGATTTACTACAATTCATGGATCTAACAAGGAACCAATTGCATTTTGACATCAGGAAAGGTTAGTTTGAAGGTTAGTATACATTTTTGATGTTGTTCTCTGTTATCAACATTAGTTTTAGACAATAGAGAAAAGTCAGAAGTAATATTTAAGAATGCAATTTGTAAGATGATTACATAAAAGATTGAATCAGAGCTGCAGTTTCCTTTTATCAACATCTTGAAGATAGTTTGTCGGTTGGTTTAAAATTACACAATTAATGTTGCTAAAGTCATTAGTCTAGCAGTCTGTTTAACTACTTCTTGTCTCATTCTACCATATTGGTTTGGCCTTATTACACAATATACCACAGCAAGTAAAAATTTAAATAATGAGCTGCAAACCGTAAATGTTTTTCAAAATCAAAGTGGATCTCACCGTAGAGACCAACAATAACGGGACTGCAGCTGTGCACATGCATGCATAAAGAAATAAGACACACGTTCTGCAAAGAAATACCATTACAGAGTTTGTGTCACAGTGCAAAGGCAGGTTTGGACTAATAATACAATAACAAGAAATAAATACTGCACATGCATAAATTAATTCAATGACACAATAACTTTTAACTTAAAAAAGTTATGTATTTCTTTCTCTTTCATTAAAAACATGCACATTCTTGTTTAAGGGGCCTGAGTGTTATCTAAGCAGCTTGTAAGGAAAAAAAGATAGCAATGTAAAGGCTAATTATCACACTTAACGCCTGTAAATGGGCAGGACAGGAAACCCCAATATAGAAATTGTTAAAGATATGTGGAAGTGGTTAGACTGTGTGATTTAGACTTAACTAGCTCAGCCACTTCCCACCAAAATAAATGTGTTCTGCAGAGAGCCATCAGCTTAACGACAAACTGTGTAACGTATCGCTTGTCCTGGGTTGTTTTAAGCGAGTTCATGGGGCAGGTTTAATGTGCTGTGGGTATTTTTATTTCTTGCCAATCCCACATCTGTTAACAAGCAAAAGCCACAGTGAAGGTTGAGCATCACCTTGCTGCTGTTTTAACAGAAAACCACAAGAGTTTATCTGATTTCTGAGTGCGTTTAAGAGCATCTCTAGCTGTCTGTTGCACTGGTGTCAGAACTTGGTTTCAACATTTCAACAACTCATTACTCTGTCAGGTTGTCACGTGAGCTTAACCTGAAACTTCTGAAGGCAGGCTGGAAATGAGGAACACTGGGGTGAAGAAGTGTGAAGAGAAGGACTAGCATTAGACATGTTCGAACTGCTTTGACTTCTCATCAAAAACCGATAATAAATAAATACATAGAGCAACTTTCTGTGACTCCAGATGTGAGACCTCAATATGTGACATTTTGGCAAATATTTTTAGCTCTTAAGTACGACTTTTCATACATCCCCATTTGTGGTTCATATAGTTTTGAAAACTATGCATACTAATGGATGCGAGGAGACACATGGGTTGGAATCCCACTTTTGGGTCTTTCTGCATGAAATTAGCATGTTCTACTTGAGCATGCATGGGTTCTCTTTAAGCCCTTAGGCCTGAATGCATGCAAGGATGCAACTACCTACTTTCTACAAGGTATGTAGACACAAAAAACTCCCAACAGTTTTTTTTTTAATGTTAACATGTATATATCTTGTTCTTTTATAAAATCATTTAAATAAAATGCTCTTATCAAAGACCTTCTGTAGACATTCTCTGTTCCTCTTCCCTTATCTGAAGCTCTCTGCTTCACATTCTCCTCCATGTGATGAAATTGCAGTCGTCCTGCAATAGCTTTACCAACATAACTCAGTGAATAGGTGGTCTGCAGAAATTCAAAGCATTTTGGGAATCTAGGTTTTTGTCACTTCATTAGTTTCCTTCTTGCAGTTCTTTACATAAATGATACTCAAAAATGAATATTGATATTAAGGCTGTTCCCATACTTTCACCTAACATTAGACCAACTGTTCTTCACCACGTCTCTCCTGATTCTTTCTTTCTCTTGCTCTCTTCCTTCTCACAATGACGTCAGTTTTGTGTTAAGAATTTTTTTTTTTTAAATACAGCAAATAAACAATATATAATAAGAAATAAATTTGACTTGGGACATCAGTTATTTATTGGATTCTGCATGTTTGAGCAGAGTTATCAGATAGATCACAAAGCTGAGATGTTATATATAAATGAACGTATTTAAATCAAGTGTATAACTTACAAGTTCTATATCTGTTCTAAATGTTTCTATTTAGTTATAGTTGAGGATATGATATTCATACTGCTTTATGCTTTACTGGATGTCCCGGACTTATTGGAAAAAATAATTGGGTTTAGAATACAAGCTTTTTTTTTTGGCTTTTTTTAAATATTTCTGTCACTATCTGTGGATTTAGCTTAAACTTAATATGGTTTAAATGGGTGATATGTTTAATTTTAGCTAATATGGGTAGCTTGTACCAAGCTCACCTCGTTTAATAGCACATGAGGTTTTATCATGGCTGATAGAAAGGGGAACAGCTGCACAAGCTTTTGCAAATGTCCCCATTAACATGACACAGAACACATGTTAGTATTTCAAATGTTCATTCATTAGATTTTGCCTGAATATGATGCGGTTTAACGGGTTACAGCAGAGAAAGCAGGTTTATGTGTGTGCATGCATGCATGTGTCAGTGCCCATACCTTTTTAACAAATCAGTTTTATATGCTGAGGAAGACAAAGTAAATGGTATCATTATACAAAATATACTAAAATAAAAAAATAAAAAAAGATTAGGTAATTATATTGTGAAATGCAATTATATAGCTGGATAACAGGGTGTTATTGGCAGTTTTATAGTTAGATATACAACATTTTCCATAGTTGTGGTTTTTCAACAGGGCTTTTTTTAATGTAAATTTTACATAATAAATACAAGTACTGAAAACTGACAAATTAAAATGAGTGATTTCATTTTCCTAAGCCAGTGAAAGTTTGTTTGAATCTTTGTCACGTGCATGTAAACTCTACTCCTCCAGTCAAAAATATCATTGGCATTTGATTAAAAAACATTCCACATAACACAATGAATAGAATAGACTTCAACTTTGTCATATCACTGTGACAAGTACAAAGCAAAGCAGCAGCAAAATGTAGTTAATGTATTATTGTTATTGTATATGTAGTTGTCTATTCAGAAATGCTGTACAGGATATAAATATTTATTTACATGTGTACAGAGACTATGTATGTATTGACTATAAATGGTATATATAAAAAGAGAGTAATTTTAAGAGGCTATAAAAAAAATGAAAACTATATACAGATTATACAGGAAAGTTAGGATATGGATTATCTATGTATTAGTGGGATTATAATACAGGATAAATAATGACAGATAATAGCAGAATGAAAGATTGCAGATTTTATACAGCTATAGTTGAGAAATACGTGTAAATGGTGTTGGACCTATTGATGTGTGTGTGAGGACAGTCCATATGTTTTAGACAGTCCTTATAGTCGGTGTCAGTAGGTGTTCAGGAGCCAGCTTAAAGCTCAATTTTTCAGCTATTTCCAAAAATTCTTTGAGATAAAGCCAAGGATGAGGGAGGTCTTGTTGGTCTCTGTCTCCATCTGCCGATATGCTCTTACCTGTGTCCGACGTTTCGGACATTTCAATATATTTTTCTAAATCCAACATTGTAGCATGGCATAGACAATTAATGTTTGCAGTTTGAAGAACACCTGCTTGCTTCTGATGATTTCCTTTAGCTAACCAATAAGTGTTTGGGTTTTATGACTCATCCATTACACTAGTTTTCACTAGATGTGGATGGCACCAATGATCTGCATTTGATGGCACACATGACGTGAAATAAATATTAAGAAACATTAAACCGAAGCCAAGAGTAATGAGTAATGTTTCTTTTAAAAATGTAGGGAATAGAAAGTACAGATACTTGTGTGAAAATGTAATGAGTAGAAGTCAGAAGTAGGAAGTAAAATAAATAATGGAGTAAATATAGATACCTAAAAAGTGTACTTAAGTACAGTAACAAAGTATTTGTACTTCGTTACTTGACACCTCTGCAAACCGGTAGGTGGCAGTAGGGTTCTTTAAAAAACATGGAGGCCTCCAGTAAAGCACATTCAAATGAAATGACTTTTAATTAAAACCACTTATCATTCATTGAACAGTATGTAATAATTTCATATTTAAAGTACTTTCAGACATTTGAACTCTGAATGTGAACTGACTTGTCCTTTAACAGTCAAATGTAATTTCATTGTAAAAAAAATGTCTGAATAATCCAGACCATCTCGATGTAACAGAGTCAAATGCAAAGTCAAAAGGTGTTGCAAACAATCCCCAGTCTGAATCAGTGCGTGCAAGATTGTTTGTCCTGCAATGCCTTGTGAAGGTCACCCAAACCCAACCTCTCATCAAATGATGGACGGAAGGACAGATAGACGGATGGATGTTACATGACACTAGCGCTACATATAAGCCTTTCTATATGTTGGCTCTTACAGATGCTAGATGGACAGGATTTAGATGTGATCATTTAGTTCCATGAGGTGTAAAAGTTAACGATCCAAATATCCGCCCATTACCTATGATAGCACTTTAGGTCAGAGGTCACAACAGCCCTGATCTCTTCAGAGCTTGACTGCTGCTAGTGTGGAAGCGTAGCCATTTGATTCAGGTCTGCAGGCCAAGTGATACATCTAAAAGCTGTAGAAAATCATCCCTTGAGAACTGTTTTAAGCAATCCTTTTAGTTAACGTTGACAGGACATAGCGTTTTTTTTTATTACCTCTTATTTGTGCAAACTGTGTGTTGATTTTATTTTTCAGTGAATCCCTGTTGCTACTACCCTTGTCAGAACAGAGGTGTGTGCGTGCGATTCGGCACTGACAGCTACGACTGTGACTGCACCAACACAGGCTTCTATGGAGAAAACTGCACCACTCGTAAGAGCTAACTTCAAATTAAACGATTCCCTGTCTGTACAGCGTATTGAAGCCTTCTCCAAGGGTGCTTTCCCAAGTAAAAGGTTTCCTTTTCTTTATAGCTGAGTTCTGGACCCAAATCCGTATGATGCTGAAGCCCAGCCCTGCAGCGGTTCATTTTCTTCTGACACATTTCCAGTGGTTCTGGAGCATCGTCAACAACTCTTTCCTGCGTGACACCTTCATGAGAATAGTGCTGACTGGTAAGCTAATCCATCAAATGAGTTCTCAGCACATCAAGACTGAGACATTTAAGTTGCATTAACTTTCACAAAGATGTGTTTTTTTTTGTTGTTTTTTCATTGTGATTTAAAAACACATTTTTATTTTTGAGGCAGAGGAAAAACCTGATTCCAAAAAAGAATTACTTAAAACACAGGTTGCTTACATTCAGCCTTTTATTTTGAAAGATCATAAAATACACAGATTTTCAGATGTTGTTCATTCATTAACTCAACTGATCTCAAACTTACTCATACATATTTAGCCCTAAAGTAGGTTGCAAAACTTCTGAGAGTGAAAAGCGAAAACACTCTGAGGTCTGATTGGTTGTATTTTCTTAGGTTGTTTTATGCAAACATCTTCAGTCGTTGTTTTTTCAAATAATTTAACCATCTTGAAGTCAGATCTTGGTCTTGGTGTAGCTAATTTGAGTGCATTTTGAGTTGTGTTCAGTTTTTTTATTTTTTTATTTGGAGGGTTTAGTACTTCCTTTTCATGGGGTTAGATGCGTACAAACCAGTTGAAGTATTCATCAGAAATTTGACTGTTCAGTGAACCTTCACACTGATAAGGCTGGTAATTTATGATGTCACTTATGTCAAACGTCTGTTGGGTATGTTTTTTCTCTTTTTTTCAGTGTTGAAACTTGAATACAGGATAAAACATACTCACATGGATTCAGTTGGGTTGGCTCTCAATAACAGACCCCCATGGTTCCAAAAGCACATGTGTAAGGAAAAGCAACTACTTGGGAGTAAATTACCATTAGCAGTGTGCGTATGCATTGTTTGCTTGTGTATATAGGGTTGGGAATTGATAAGATTTTCAGGATTCCGATTCCCTTATTGATTCTGTGAAACGATTAGATTCCTTATCGATTCTCTTATAGATTCTGTGAAACAATGATCTTAGTAAGTGCACGGTGACATTGGTCTACCTTTGCCTGGTACATTCTATTTCTGCCTGCCTCGGAGAAAACAGAAGGCAGTGAACAGGAGCTGCTAGCCTCTGAGCCAGCCAGGCTACCCGTCTCATCATCTAAATCTAATGGAGAAGGCAACCGTTTAATGAAAAAGCATTACTGTACAATTTCAGGAAATAAACTCATCTCCCCCTGATTTAAATAAACGAGAGTCACCTTTCTCTCACTCCCTTAACTTCGGAGCAACTTCGTGGCATGTTTAATAACCCCAAAGAATGGCAGGAAATTGGTTTATTTCCAGAAATGGCATATTATCTACTAGGAACCACATTAAGCACAGCCAGTGATATAAAACTTATAACTAACTCGTAGCTTTAGCTTCTGTCCAGAAGCATCAAAAACACGGCATTTGTTAAAATGTATGCCATGTTGTGTGCAGGTGTTTCTGCATGTTGGATGTATTTCCTCCCGTGGATGTAATTGCCACTTTGCAATGATTGCAAAGCACATTGTGGCGAATGTTCTCTTCCTTAAAATGAAGCCAACCTTTTGATCGCTTTACTCGATGGGACGCCCCTTGTTTTGTTTGCTTTTCTAGATTTACACCTGGTCACGTCGTACTTGCTTACTGAATGCTGTGTGCGTAACTTGCGTAAAAAATGTGACGTAAGTCATTCTGCCCAGCGCTAGGCTCTGGTGCTGCCTGGAACCGTCAAGAGAATCGTTAAGTGAGCTGCCAAACAGTGCCATGGAATTGGAACACACGGAACCGGTTTTCGATTCCCATCCCTATGTGTATAAGTCTGTTTCTCTTGCTGATCCGTGATAACAAGCACCGCAAACCAATAGACGCAAAACAAGTTAGTTGTTAAAAACACTATTTACCTACATAAAGCCCAACCCCATAGTGAGTACCTCATGGCTTTAAAAGCAACAATGGGGGGATTTAGTAATTCTAACCCCTAAATTAGATGTTCTAAAACACACAATCGTTTGGTCTAAAGATTTGAAGAAAATTTTCTTTCTCTCTAGCATTAGATTAATGATCAACCCTGTAAGTAATTTCAGTCTGTTTTCAAAAATCAACCTTTGGTTTCTTTTGGCCCTGTTGTCTTCCTTTCTGTTATGTTGTTAAGCACCTAAAGCATCAGCTCAGCTTATTTTCACACCTGTGTTTTCAGAATTGGTGTAACAAACAAACAAAAAAAAAAGGTGTGAGATCCAATTTAAAAAAACAAACTAATGCCTTTTTGTTACAGTACGAAACGAACTCATTCCCAGCCCTCCAACCTACAACACCAAGTACGGTTACATCAGTTGGGAATCCTACTATAACCTCTCTTACTACACCCGCCTCCTACCTCCTGTCCCTGAAGACTGCCCGTTGCCAATGGGAACCAAAGGTGAGGCCGTAACATCTTAAGAAAGCTAATTTAGTCCCATGGACATCCTTAACCAAGTATTCTTTCACAGGTAAACCTGTTCTTCCTGATGCTAAGGAGGTTAGTGAGAGATTTTTAAAAAGAAGGGAATTCCGACCGGATCCTCAGGGAACCAATCTGATGTTTGCCTTCATGGCTCAACACTTCACCCACCAGTTCTTCAAGGGTCACAAAGTCGAGGCAGGCTTCACCAAGGCTTTGGGACATGGGGTGAGATTCATGAGCTATCTGCTGGTGCAACCAGAAGTTATGTTAAAAGATAAGAGGAGTACGCAGCATAAATATGGGTATGCTGAAACTATGTCCAATTTGTGCCTGATAGGTAGATGCAAGCAACATATATGGAGAAGAACTTGAGAGACAGCATCAGCTTCGACTTCATAAGGATGGAAAGCTAAGATATCAGGTAACACCAGATATGGTTGGGCATGTTATGATCAGGCTTTTGCTTTAGTCAATGAAGCAGCAACTCATGCTTAAAATGTTTTTCCCACTGCTTATTTCCAGAGCTGGCTCGGAGCTCATCTGCCTGGCTCTCTGTTTACTGGATGGGGCCGCCTTTACAGCTGCTTTTTGTATCTCTGCTTCTGTCTCCTTGAACCCCAGTCAGCCTTGGCAGATAGCCACTCACACTGAGCCTGGTTTTGCTGGAGGTTTCTTCCTGTTAAAAGGGAGTTTTTCCTCTCCACTGTCGCTACAAGCATGCTCCTTAGATAGAAAACTTTGAATCAATTTGACTGTATGATCTGGTTGAACTGTGAAGTTCCTTGATATGACATGTGTTGTGAATTGGAGCTATATAAATCAACTGAATTGAATTGAATTAAAGTGGAACCTTCTTTTGGGGGAGGAGAACTCTGTTAAAGTAATCCTGAAGGTTATTAGAAAGTGGTCAGAGAGGACAGGGTTGTGAGGTTATACTGTTATTTATTCACATTCTATGCCATATATCAGCACAAGATCCAAAGTATGAAGATGAGCATTTGTGGGACTTTTCACATTTTGAACAAAGCCAATTGTGTCTAAGATAGCATTAAAGGCTGCTCTTAGGCTATCCCCTTCAATGTCAGCATGGATGTTAAAATCTCCCAATCCCCAATCTCCCACAATCTCCCTCCTCGCCCAGAACTTCTGGGTATGTGAAAATTTAAATAGCTTGAAGGAATTGCCTCATTTATGCTCACATAATCCTCTTGCTGCAGCCAGGTTTCTGTAAGGCAACATAAATCAATGTGATTATCACAAATCAAGTCATCAACTAACGGACTTTCAGAGGAAAGAGATCTTATGTTAAACAGACCACATTTAATCGTTTTAACTTTTTCCCCAATTTGAGTTATTTTAATTTTAGTTAGATTATCATGATTTGCTAATTTATTCGATTTTGGTCGTGGGTGAGACACTGTGTGGATGGAGTAAAGAGTGGGTAACAGTAGAGAAGCTGCAGAGATGTGTGTTTAACTATAACTCTGCTTCCTGGTCTGCACCCTGGGCGGTCAGTGTTTTGGAGGACTAATAAATATATATATATATACTTTTTTCTGTGCTGCCCGGTACCGGTCCGCGGCCCGGCGGTTGGTGCTAGAAGACACTGCATTGTAGCGTACTTGGCAAAAAGAACTGCTTTTGGTTGACATAATTTTAAACATTCTGTTCATCGATCTGTTGCTGGGATATTACTTAAAATTTTGTTAAAGGATGTTGAATACAAGAAACCCACATCCTGTTACTTGATAGATTTTGATAATGATGTGGTAAAGTGAAGAGATAAGGGTAATAGCGGCTGAAGAAAGAAACTGCTGGGAGCTAAAATACATGATCTTAACTCTGGTTTTAGGCGGACCTTTTTATCTAAATACCACTATCGCTGAAGATGCTTAGCTAGTGAAATGCAACTTTGAGGTTTATTGTGACAGGAAAGCTAAGCTAATACAAGAATTGTCACTAAGTTTTGCCAGACTGCCTGAAATAACAGAAATGGCTTATGATCGACTTTCCACAGATGATAAATGGGGAGATGTACCCTCCAAGTGTATCAGAGGTCCCAGTGCACATGGTGTACCCTGAAGGTTTCCCTCCTGAACAACGTCTCGCCATCGGTCAGGAGGTGTTCGGTCTCATACCAGGCCTGACCTTGTATGCCACTATCTGGCTCAGGGAACACAACAGAGTGTGTGACATCTTGAAGGGTGAACATCCAACCTGGGATGATGAGCAGCTTTTCCAGACCACCAGACTTATTATTATTGGTGAGTATGATGCATACATTTTAAAAACATTAAAATAACTTTTGATTCTTGTTTATCAGTTTCTATTATTGTTTTAATTGTTTTAGATTAAAGGGAAGCCTATTTTAAAAATATGCTTAAAAATAGACTTTTTTTTTCATCTTAGTAGTATTAAAAGTTTCCTAAAGAATGTGTTTATTGATTCAATCTGGATGTTTTATGTGTTTGTAGTATATAGGAGTATATATCTCATGGCCTTGAATGGTTTTCAGATGATGAAAGCACTCCCCCTGCTGGTCAAATTTCCCAAGAGGATTCTTACTAATAAGGACTGGCTAATATAGATGTAACAAGTGTAACATCATAATTAAGAATAATTCATTCTTTGAAAAAGTCAGAGAGACTAATCTATAGCAGATAATCAGCACAAAATGCAGATTTTAAGCTCACTTTAAATAGTATTAATCCAACCTAATAGGATGTTAGGTAGACATGTTCATAATAGTGACCTTAATACCCCCAAAAATGGGGGAAAATAACATGTCTTTGTAGCAAATTAGATTAAATGTTAAAATAAACTGTTTAGTCTGGTTTTGAAAACTAACACACTTTCATTGTTGTTGGTTATATTGTAACTTCATGGCAGCAGAGGCCTTCAGGAAGATCTAATTTTGTCCCAGTACTATGGGATGCAGCCATTCCCCATATTACAGGTCTTAAAAAGTTTTATATAGTCTAAATAATACATTTCTTCTTTTTTTCAAAAACATTGTTTATCATTAACGTCAAGAATATTTATTTGCCCTTTAGACTGTTTGATCACATAGGCTAACAATACTTTTAATTCCCAGGTGAGATCATCAATATTATAATAGAGGAGTATGTGCAGCACCTGAGCGGCTACTACCTCAAGCTGAAGTATGACCCCTCCCTGCTCTTTCGTGAGCGCTTCCAGTACACTAATCGCATTGCCCTGGAGTTCTCTCTTCTCTACCACTGGCACCCACTAATGCCGGACAGCTTTCTCATCGATGGGGATGAAATCCCATACTCCCAGTTTTTGTACAACACCTCTATCATGATGCATTATGGCGTGGAAAAGCTGGTGGATGCTTTCTCTCGACAGCCTGCAGGACAGGTAGTGATACAGCAGCTTATCCTAAAAAGTTTTTTTGTTGTTTTTTTTTCTGTATACACATTTACATAAAAGTTAAACTAGCAAAAATACTTTAAAATAAAAGAATTTTAGAAACTCACGCAATCTGACCACAGACAGAAGTCATTGTAAAACCAAGCTTCTGCTTTTTGTTCTTAAAAAACAGATCATCAACGTTGAGTTTCTACTGAAAAACATCTTTTGAAATATTTTCTGATGGTATCTCTACTTTCAAAGAACCTCTATCTTTAGATATTATGATCGGGTTCCACATTCAGTCATTAAACAAGGAAACTAAGTTTCCATTTTTACTTTTAACTAGAAAAACTCTTCGTGTGAAGTAGCTGTGAGCATGATAATTTGCATAATGCATGCACCACACAGTGATCAGAAAACTTAGATAAACAGTAGACAATGTGACAGGAAATCCTATGAATTTGAGAATGTTTGAAAACAGCTAAATAACTTGAAGATGCAGAAATGACGAAGGGAACAAAAGTAGAAGAATATAATAAAGAAATCAACTTAATTTGTAAAAAGCAAGACCGAAAAAATGTGGATTATATTATGACAAAAAATAAGAATTCTCATGAAAAAGCTTCTTAACTTTTTCTGTCTTTTGCTTTATGAATGAGCATCTTCTCTGTAAACCTGGTAGTCTCCATGAGGACACTATAACGGACTGACCAATCAGCCCTCACTGTCCTGTCCTGCACTCTCTTAAACAGTGACCTATAGTTCACAACCATAAGACCTATTGATGTCATTTGTTGACCGTTCTTTTCAGAACAAATTAGATTACAAAAGTTCAATCTGAAACACACACAAAGAGAAAAGACAATTAGGAAAAGTTTATTGATACAATTACTTTTGGCGCTCAGACCTCGGCAGGAAACGTAGCACCTAATTTTGATAGATATGCATGAACAGGAGCAAAGAGGCCCCCCAGGCCTGAAACTGGTGGTGGAATGGAGATAGATGAAGTTGGTCAGTCTGTAGACTGCTGGTTAGTGAGATGGTCTGCTGAGCTTTATGGGGAGATCCAGTGGACTTTGTGAGCTGATACTAGAGCTTCACTCAGGGACCTGCAAGATTGAAGTCCAGTTGGATAACTCAGATTGAGTGAACCTTTTCATGATGAGCAAGCTTGAAGCGACAGTGGAGAGGAAAATCTCCCACTTGGGAAGAAACCCATGGCAGAACCAGGCTCAACATTGCGGTCTTCTGCAGGACAGGTTAAGATGAGACAGGGAATGCAGTAAAGGCCGGGAGTAATGACACCATAATGAAGCTTTAGTTACGATGGTGGAGGAGGAGCTGGATGCCAGTTGGCTTTCGTGGAAGTGTGATTCAAAGCTGATTGGCTGTGTCGCAGGTGGATGTAGGAGAGCAATTCGTTTCTTCAGTTGAATTTCTGCCTATGCTCTATTTTAAATCCGAAGATAACTCGTTGAATGTCGTCTTTTAGTGGCTTTTGGCTGATTTGCCATATTTCTGTGACTTCCGTATCAATGAGAATCATATTTTCTAAATAGAGAGAAAGTAGAGTAAGTAGGACATGTTTGGAAAAGTTTCCTAAAGCTGTGATGGACAATTCCTACATTGAATTACATAGTTGAAATTACAAGTTGAAAACTGGCAAAACTATGCATAAAACCAATTGGAATTTTAAAAGAGACATAAAAGCATGACTTCTAAAGTTATAAACTGAAGAGTGCATGCTCATTTTTAAAAGTTGAATGGTGTTTTTAGCCTAAAATAATATATATATATATATATATATATATATATATATATATATATATATATATATATATATATATATTTATACATTCATTTGTGTATTTTTTTATCAATACCACAACATGTAGCACCATACTCCTAAAGTAATTAGAATTAGAAACTAAGATGAAGTGTGTAGAAGTAGTAAAATGCAGGAAAAACGCCTGACGAGTGAGACAATAACTGCCAGGAAAACAATAAAAGTTATTACGTTCTCACTGATGAAAAATCATATGTAGTTATTTATGGTCTTTTCTTTCAGATAGGCGGGGGCCGCAACATTCACCAAGTGGTGCTCAGAGTGGCAGAAAAGGTCATCACAGACTCAAGAACTGCACGCCTGCAGCCTTTCAATCAGTACAGAAAAAGGTTTAACCTGAAGCCCTACTCATCCTTTTATGAATTGACAGGTAAGCTGGAAAAAAGCAAGCACACACTTGATAATTTCTTTATTCTATTTCTTCACATAGATTAACCCGTAACTGTGACATATGTGGCGCTTCCAGAGTGGCAGCCTCATACTGCCACATTAAGGCGACTGTCCGCCATTACAACTGTGTTATATGGGAGGCTTTTTGTGATTTTTGGCCAGTTAAAAGGTTGAAAGCAAGTTGCTGATTGCAGGTATTTCTATTGTATGAATTAGCTTAAATTTAACCTACATTATTAAAGGCTTATAGAGCTACTATAGGCTTATAGGATTACAGACATATTATAAAAACAGTATTTTATGGGGACTTAGTGAATCATATTCAAAAGCAGATATTAACTAACTGCTCTTCCCTTTGGAAGCTGGCAAGATAAGTTTGAATCTTCCAACTGCCTTGTACCCTTTGCTTTAAATGTTTCAGTTATTGCTGGTTTAAGCAAGTAGTTATGTTATCTTCCTCCATAATACTAGTCCCACTTAATTGGATGGCATTTTCTCTTGGGGTTCATAATATTTATACACATCAAAATCAATCAAAATACATTAAACTTTAATAGAATATGCATCATAAAAATTTTACTTTCGAATATTTTATGTGCATTCATAGAAATTCCTTTAATTTTAGAGATTTGAATATATCTATGACTATAAATTCTAACAATAACTTATTACAAATATTTTTATTTCCTTTCACAACTGTTTTATCCAGCTCTGTCTTCAATGTTCAAAGTATGAAGTAGCTAACATTTTTTATCTTTACCTGAGAATTGGAGTTCATCAGAAAATAACCATAACTGTAGGAGAGATGAAATGGCTTGCTTTTATTTATTGGAGGTGCAGTAGAAGGTGCATCTGGTCTGATAATTGCATTTTTAATCTGCTGCCATTACTGAATCAGGATAAGCTGTGACTGGTGTAGAATCTGAAAGCCATATAAAATAAGGTGCACCACATGTTCTTGTATATTTATTTGCATTTCTTGCAAATAGGTGATGAAGAAATCGCTAAAGGGTTAGAGGAACTATATGGAGACATAGATGCCCTGGAATTTTATCCTGCCCTCCTGCTGGAGAAAACACGACCTAACTCCATATTTGGAGAGAGTATGGTGGAGATGGGCGCCCCGTTCTCCCTGAAAGGCTTACTTGGAAACCCCATCAACTCCCCTGAGTACTGGAAGCCTAGTACCTTCGGAGGCCAGACGGGCTTCAACATCATCAAAACGTCCACTCTAAAGAAACTGGTTTGTCTGAACACCAAGTGGTGTCCATACGTGGATTTCCATATCCCACGAAATGAGGAAGAAGCAAAATCGAGGAAGCCATCCACTGAACTTTGAAGACTAACCATCTGCTGAAAAATACTAGTTTTAAGCTAAAGATTCAAAGGCATAGAAATCTGCCTAAGACAGATGGGTAGCACTGCACAGAGCCACATGCACTGTGTGATAACATTGGAAAGATAATAAATGCATACAATAATAAAAGTGATATCAAAATCATTTATTGTGATGTTTTATTGGAAAATGTAAGTTCAAGAGCATTGTGTTATTAATAGAAAATAAATAAAGAAGACTCACAACCTTAAAGAAGAACACCTGCTTTTCCATCTTTTGTTGGGATCTGGGACTTCTCCCCTCTGTTTCTGGTTTCTGCTTCCTTCATTCTCCCCAGGTGGCGTCGGAGAGCACCTCTGATCAATTCCAGCTTACCTCAGCTCAATCATAGATGCTACCTGGTTCCCACAAATTACTTCCAAGCAGTACTCCATCGAAGGCCGGTTCTGATTCTCCTATCTCATTCAATCCTTCTGGGAATGGTGCTTGGCCTCCTGACAAGCATGTGACAGGTGGCCTAGTAGTTAGGGCATTTAGCTTGGATCACAGAGGTTCTGAGTTCAAGCCCCACTCCCATGGACTGCCCCTATGGGTCCCTGAGCAAGACCCTTAATCCCCGCACTGCTCCCCGATAAAAGATAAAACGACAATATTTAATTTGTTAGGTTAGACAGTTACTATCTGACTAATAATTAAAAGTAAAAAAAAAAAATTTTTTTTTTTTTTATGATTCTGCTGAGGGTTGGTTGAACAGCAATGTCTGCTTTTCTTTTGTTCATTTTCATATAATTTGTATTATGTCTTTAAACTTTTCTGAAATGGATAAAAGTAATATTATTCCTAGAAAAAAATTTGGTAATGCCCAATGACAATTTTACTTATGAACATTTAAATTAAATCAACACACCCTTAGACAGATATTGTATTACCCGTGCAGGGATGTGTTGAAGATGTTTTAGTGCAAAAACTGCTTCTCAGCATCAGAACAAGAGCAAACAACTTTGAAGATTTCAGGTAAAGGTATTAATAAAGCGTTAACATCCTGGGTGATCTATCCACCGTACTGACATGGGCTGAAAGGTCCCTGGAAGAAGCAAACGTTGAGTTGTTCATCATTTCTTTTGCTTTACTTAATGTCTCTGTGTCATTGCATTGCATCTACACTGATTTCTGTTTAGGTTTATTTCTGTACTATGGATTTAGTTTATTTCTTATTGTTTAGTCTCTGTAAGTTGAGTCTCAAATTGTTTGACTGGTAGGCACCCACACAACAGCTTGTTAACTCTCCGGTGCCTCCTAGTATTCGCTCATCCATTGTTTCCTTGGTGTGAACCTTCATTATTTCATAAGGCGCCTGACACAAAAAACATTCAGTCAACGCTTTGGGTGAAATGATAGTGTTTATTGACAATGACACCTTTGGTTTTCAAAAATATATTTTAACAGTCAAGTACCTTGTTATAAAGAATAGGATAAAAATAACTAAATACTTTTCTTGGCTTTTTGAAAAACACTTCAAAGATTTTATTTGTACTATCAACAGATATGCCATATAGATCAACATAAAGCTAGATTGCACCTAAACTGGTTTAAGACTTGCTCATTTTCATCTCTTTTCCAAGTGAACAAAAATATCTATAGAAAATAACAAAATATTTATGACTTATTTACATACTAAAACAATTTACTAATTCGGTTACTGTCTCCATTAAATCACAGCCTTAACATGCTAGCTCCTGGAGTGGTCTTCCATGGAAAATCAGCTTTATGAAAGGGGTCAAAAGCTTAAATAAACACAACAAAAGGAGAAACTCGCCAGGATAAGAGAGAGAATGGGAAACACTCTTAAGACCAGGCCTTGAAGGAGGGCAGACATTTTTCAGAAAGACTCAGTGTAAAATGATTGATCATAACTTTTTCATGATTTGTTTCTTAACTATTTATTTTTTTCCACATTTAAATGTTTTATATTATAATTTTTTTTAGATTAGGTAAATAAAACCTGAAAATTGTTCCTTTGATGACTAAAGAACAGTCATCCATTGCATTTTTTTTTATGAACATTTCAGTCAATTCCAGTGTTTTAATATGGCACCATTTCACAAAACGTCATCTAATCACACTTTAGAAAAATATCCTACTCATATGCAGAGATGAAATTAAATCCAGTCATAGACAGAGATTTAGATTAATCTCCAATTAAATCCTTGATAAAGTAATAAAAACAAAAAGTTTGGTATTTTTTGAATGATTTTGTTTTCTATCTAATGAAACTCGGCTCATTGGATTCACTATTCAACGTTTAAAAAAAATCTTTCTCCCTGAATGAACATGAGGTTACAGCTATGAAGGCCCAACGTGTCTCCAGCATGTTTGATGCTCGTTAGGATGTTCTTTATTGAAATGCTGGGTTTGTTCGATTAGACAGGACTGTCTCAAAAGGTTCAATTTTTTTTTTTTTCTATTCCACAAAATAATTTTTCCAATGGGGCAATGTGAGCTGTTATGCTTTAAGTTTTCTTTGATCAGCAGAGGTGTATTGCCTTTAAACTCTCATATGGATTCCATGTTCTCCCAGTTTCTTTTGTCTAAATCATTAATCATTATCGCTTGATAGTGATAGTGGGCTGTACTAGCTGTACTGGCTGTAAGACCTTCTTTCACAAGTTTAATTGAACTAGTCCTTAACTAAACTGTAAGTTTTTACAAGCCACGACTGAACAAGGAGGGAGGTGTTTTTAACAGGTTTGTTTGTAAACCTTTAAACCTAAAAACATATAAATTCTAAGCAGCATTTTGTATTCACTCTGGGTATCCGTTTACAGGTAATATATAATAATAATAATGATAATAATATTAATAATAATAACAATAGTTTTTGCAACTTTACACATTAGAACAAAGTTTGACATTTATCCTATCTCCTTGAGAAACATTCTGATGGATTGCTCAGGGACCACATGTGGCTCTGTGATTCAAACTTGCAACCCTTTGCTTCAACCACTAGGCCATCACTCCTCTAATAATGTAAAAAAAATTATAAACATATCTGTTTAATGAGCTTAAACTCCAACAATGTCCTCTTTCAAGGTCAGCGGCTCAACCGGAAAGTGTGGCATGTTCCCTTTAGGTTGCAGGAGAGTTCCAGCCTCAAGTGGATGATTTAAGTATCGTGGGGTCCTGTTCAGGAGGGAGGGAAGAATGGAGCGGGAGATCGATGACGTTTTGTCATGGTGAAGAGATAGCTGAGTGAAAAGGTGAAGCTTTACAGATCTGTCTACGTTCCTACCCTCATCTATGGTCAGGACATCTGGATCATAACTGAAAGAACAAGGTCCTGGGTACGAGCAGCTGATATGAGCATTCTCTGCATGTTGTCTGGGCTCTCTCTTAGAGATAGGGTAGAGGAACTTGGTCATTCGGGAGAGGCACGGGTAGAGTTGCTTCTTCTCTGCATTGAGAGCAATCAGCTGAGATGGCTCAGACATCTTTTTCAAATGTCCCCTGTAAGCCTCTCTCAGGAGGTTTTCCAGGTACGTCCCACCGGTAGGAGGCCGAGGGGACGACCCAGGACATGTTGGATGGACTATGTCTCTCGGTTGGCCTGGGAGCGCCTCAGGCTTCTCCCAGCAGGAGGAGCTGTCTGGGGACAACGCTGTCTAGGAGTCTCTGCTGACTCTGCTTCCCCCGCGACGACAGCGATTTTAAACTAAAAAATATGACTATAAAAAATAGAAGCTGAAGAAATTTCTCAGGGGCCACAAATTGTTTTTTAAACAATTGCATGCAACATCTCGCACATCTGAAAACATATTGTATCATGCCAGTTTGTAATAAATTATATTGAAATTCATTACTATAACTATACGGCTCACAATCCTTTAAAAACTCCTAGACTTGATAAAGACGACAAAAGAAGCTTTGTCAAGCCCAAAAACTATTTACAGCTTGTGAACATTGTTTCTAAGTAATACATTTAAGAGAATAAAACATCTTTACACATGATCAGAGAGGCAACCTTCTCTAGGTTATTTTCATGGGTGTCAGTTTTCATCTAATAGTTCTAAAGATCATGTTGGTGCTTCAGAAATTATATTTCAAATGTACCAGAATTTGTTTTTTTAGATTCATAAAATGCTTTTTAGGTGAAAACAGGAGATAAAAGCAGACAAACTTTAAAACAAAATCTTAGAACTTGTAAAACTTTTAGAAATGCAAAACAAATCTTATTCAACTCTTATTAAGCACAAACTAAACTGAGGGGTGACGCAACATTTTTGAACAATATTTAACATTTTAACCTACAAGCATAAAATCAAATGTCAACATGTTTTCAATATGAATACATTATATTGATTATTTACATTTTTTTAATGACGAAATACATTTGCTCACATGTCATCCTCTGCAGGATGTACATTGTCCTTGGCAGTTTGGCCTCTACAGCTACTTACTTTTATGCAACTTTACAGTTGATCGATCATCATTCTCTTGGCTGTTGAATAGTGAGGGACTGAACAATGGTGCAGTCACTGAAGTGGAGTTCGAAACGGGGTTGATGTGTGTGCTGCTACTGACTGCAGTGACAGCAGAGGCTGCTGGATAGACCTGGACATCAACAGCAACAGATGTGAGCCCCAAAGAGATGTGGTGGGAGACTTGTAAAGGCGGGCTGCCGTGTGAGATACTGAGGCTGTGGTGGAAGGGGGCGGCACGTGGCTCTGTGCTCCGCAGTGTTAAAGAGGAATGTAGAGCTTCTTCTCGTCTGGGAATTGGAGATGGGGAAGGCGGCAAGGATAGGGAGGGTAAAGAGGATGGAGGAGGAAAGGCATCCTGGCATGAGCCCTGGTTTTCCCCTGCGACGCTCGTCCAGTCCTCGGTGCAACGCAGCCGGATGCTGGGATGAGATAAACTGCTTCTATTATCCTCCTCCAGGGTAGAGTCAATCTAAAAAGAGAGTAAACTAAATATTCGTAATATATCTAACACTGATCAAAAGGTTAAAAGCTCATTCAAAGCTCAAAAAAATTAAAGGAACACTTTGAAAACACATCAGATTTCAATGGGAAAAAAATCATGCTGTTTATTTATACTGATATGGACTGGGTGATGTGTTAGCAACAAAAGGTTGACACATCATTTGATGTAAATGAAAATTATCAACCTACAGAGGGCTGAATTCAAAGACACCCCAAAAATTACAGTGAAAAAATGATGCGGCAGGTTAGTCCATTTTGCTGAAAATTCATTGCAGCAACTTAAAATGGTATTCAGTCATTTGTATGGCCCCCACATGCGTGTATGCATGCCTGACAACATCGGGGCATGCTCCTAATGAGACGACGGATGGCGTCCTGGGGTATCTCCTCCCAGATCTGGACCAGGGCATCACTGGGGTCCTGGACAGTCTGAGGTGCAACCCGGCGGCGTCAGATGGATTGAAACATAATGTCCCAGAGGTGTTCTATTGGATTTAGGTCAGGCGAGCATGGGGGCTTATCAATGGCATCAATTCCTTCATCGTCCAGGAACTGCCTGCATACTCTTGCCACATGAGGCCGGGCATTGTCATGCACCAGGAGGAACCCAGGACCCACTGCACCAGCATAGAGTCTGACAATGGGTGCAAGGATTTCATCCCGATACCTGATGGCGGTCAGGGTGCCGTTGTCTAGCCTGTATAGGTCTGTACGTCCCTCCATGAATATGCCTCCCCAGACCATCACTGTCCCACCACCAAACCGGTCATGCTGAACGATGTTACAGGCAGCATAATGTTCTCCACGGCTTCTCCAGACCCTTTCACATCTGTCACATGTGCTCAGGGTGAACCTGCATTCATCTGCAAAAAGCACAGGGCACCAGTGGCGGACTTGCCAATTCCGGTGATTTGTGGCAAATGCCAATCGAGCTCTATGGTGCCGGGCAGTGAGCACAGGGCCCAGTAGAGGACATTGGGCCCTCAGGCCACCCTCCTGAAGTCTGTTTCTGATTGTTTGGTCATTCACACCCGTGGACTGCTGGAGGTCATTTCTTAGGGCTCTGGCAGTGCTCCTCCTTCTCCTCCTTGCACAAAGGAGCAGATACCGGTCTTACTGATGGGTTATAGACCTTCTACAGCCCTGTCCAGCTCTCCTGGAGTAACTGCTTGAAATCTACCCAAATGCTTTTAAGATTTTGCTGGGAGACACAACAAACTTTCTGGCCATGGCACATATTGATGTGCCATCCTGGAGGAGTTGGTCTGCCTGTACAACCTCTGTAGGGTCCAGGTAGCGCCTCATGCTAACAGTAGTGACAGTGACCCTAGCCAAATGCAAAACTGGTGAAAAAAAGAGTTAGAAAAGATGAGGAGGGGAAAAATGTCAGTGGCCTTCACCTGTAAAACCATTCCCGTTTTGATGGTCATCTCCTTGTTGCCCCTCTACTGCACCTGTTGTTAATTTCCTTAACACCCAAGCAGCTGAAACTGATTAACAACCCCCTCTGCTACTTACCTGACTAAATCAATAGCCCAGAAGTTTAATTAACTTGATGCTGTACTCTGATTACAAGGGTTCCTTTAATTTTTTTGAGTAGTGTATATCCAAGATAATTACTGGTATTTTTTTTTTTATTTCCAAACCTGTCCTGAACCCAATGCCGATTAAATAGGTATCATTCATTCATGTGTGTGATTTCAGACCTTTGTGTCAACGACAGGCTCTGGATGAGTCTCTACAGTCACTGAGTAGTGGTCCACAGTAGGCGCGGAGACCTCTTCAACCTCCTCAAAAGTCGGCTCCATCTGAACAGTGACCAGGTCTGGTCCTGGAGGGCGTGCACGGGTATCTGACGTGTTGGGGCTCTGCTCTATCACTGTGACACACTCATCATCCTCAAAAGCTCTGTACAACAAAGAAGACAGCTGGTATGAACAGAAAGAAAGATCTTCATTAGTTCCTTTAGCATATTTCTGTTTTGAAGCGCGGTATGCACCTGTTTTCATGTCCTGCAGCCTGACGATCAGCGTGTTTTTTTGGGACACCAAGGTTCCTTTGAACTGTGAAGGATGTGTTATTTAGCTTTAATACAAACGGTCAACATTAGGTGAAGATTATATTTTTGATAATTTTATTTATATCTTTCTTAAAGGTAATGTATTAAAATAGGAGCCAGTTAAATTAACCAGTTAAATGTTTATTAAAATAACATTTAGCTGAACAAGAGTAGTTGCCATTGTAACTCTGCTTAATGCAAATAAGACTTAATTTAGCCTCCTGATACAATATGTTAGGTAGTTAGTTTTAATCCCTTCAACTTTTTTTCTATTCTTTAAAGTTCCTTTTTCAAAACTATTTTATTTTGCACTGGATGGAAAAAAGACGTGTAAGTTCTAGTTAATGATGGTTTATATTAGTAGGTTTAAAAAAGTTAACTAACCTAGTTTAACTTTGTAACAGGAATATACAGCATATTTAAAGCAGTAGTTTCAGGATATATGAAGTGTACCAGTTGGTAGATATCTCATTAGGCGCATCAGTGGTAGCTATTTCTCCAAATATAACATAAAACTATGTAGACCTAGGTAAATTAGCTATAGCACATCTTGGTTTAAAGTCATAGATAAATTACTGAATTTCTATCAAATTCTGTATAAAACAAGATATTTTTGATTATGACATAGATCTGTTTATTTTAGGTCACTGACAGGTATATTTATTTTGCTGGCTTAAAGTACACAATTAAAAGAGAGAATGATTTTTAAAAAGACAAAGTAATTTTTTACAAACAGCTTTCTGAATCTTATCTTATCTGATAATAAAGGCAGATTTATTTAAAGAAAAAATCAGATCATACAAATGTTAGGATAATTATCATAAACAATGACTGGATCCTGAAACTGATAACAATAAAAACTTTAAAGTTTAATGTTCTTGGTTCACATTCTTCATGTGTTTATTGCATATCACTAACACTGAATTTTAAATGTCTCCTACAACTTCAAGCTTGTCTAGTCAATAGTTTGGGAGAAAAATCTTAATTTTTCACTCGGTTAGAATTCTAAAAAGTTCCTAACCTGCTCGGCCTGGAGGAACAGGTTCGTTCTTGCGGACCACTGAATAGAAGGTAACAGTTATGAAGATAAAAGCCAGGGATACGCCCACACCAACTACAATGGGAATGTCATGTTTCTCCAGCACAGGCAGCCATGATGGCGACTGTTGTGTCCCCCTGTGAGATAAAAAATACAGCACCATAATTTTCTACATTCCATTTAATCTGGGATTTCTTAATCTGATACTTGCTGGAGGTCAAGCCTTCTTGTAATATATGACAAAAAAGCTTCTATTGTCATTAATGGTTTCTTTTCAACTTTCATAACTTTTACGTCAATACTTTACATTTTGTCCATTCCTTGTTCCTACCCAAGGCATTTTATTTTTAAGGGTGTTGCTGAAAGATTTAAGAACCCAAAGGGAATGTATGCCCAGTAATGGATATAAAAACAATAAAAAAATAACCCTTTATGAAGAACTAAAACATTTTAAAATTATGGGGGTTTTTTTGGTGGTAAAACATAACGAAAGGACAAATATCCTTACTGTTGATTTCACTTACAAGGGATCATTGATCATGGTCATTGGGGACTGGGAGGTGTTCCTCTTTCTCCAGTCTGCTACCTCTGTGATGTTGGGTGGGTGTTCCTTTTGTGTAGCATTTAACAGATTCGACCAGTTGGTATTACTGGAGTTTTGAGGATCTAAAACTGAAGTTCTGTCTGGGGGTTGATCATCAAGCTGGAACGGTTGAGACTCGTTGGTTAAAGATGTCGGACGATCCATATGGGGGATCTCAAGATGAAACTTTGGGAGAAAGGTCCTTTGTGTGACAGGTTGTTCAGGATTAACATGAGATGTTTGTTGGAGAGATGGTGAATACTGCAAATACATTTGTTTGGTTGGGGAAATTTGTTGAGACGCCTCTGTTTTAGAGAGGATATGTCTTTGGTGGAAAGAAAACATTTTTAAAATGTCTGTTTTAGCTTCTGAAGAAACTGTCACTGAATCAGACACTCTCATTTTATTCTGGGAAATGTAATTCTGTGTTGGCACTGGTGTATCTGAACCAATCAGCTCACTGAACATATGGGTTATTTGATCCACTGGAGTCTGATATGAGGATGTCCAAGTCCGTCTCTGGGTGGGCTGATAATGAAGCATCGGACCAAAACCTTTTCTGGTAGCTGCTGCTGTTGAACTGTGGCTTACAGGTGGTTGACTAGTTGGGATAAAAAGTGAATCTGTGGTCTGTAGAAGTTGGGGGTTGAGGTTTCCTGACAAGAAGTTGGGATGTGGAGGAGGCGGTAAAATGGGGGGCTGCATCTGTGGGACCAAGAGTTGGGTGGGATGGATCATTTCCTCTGAACCAGGCCTTGATGCTGGTTTCAGCTCCATTATGGATAATCTGGAAAAAGCTGAAGGTGCGGTAGTGCTGTTGCACCTTGAACCTGAAAAGTTCCAGAAAAAGATGTTCATGTTTCTCTTTTATTATTAGATCAGATATATTTTTTCATGAGCAATAAGAAATCTTCTATAATAGACTAATAAATAACTGAGTCATTGTTGGTCTTAATCATGCTAACAAGTTAAAACTTTTAACTAATGCAAAAACAATCTGCCTATTAATAGTTCATTATTTCAATGCTCCAAGTTATTTTCCAACCCTCCCAAGTCTGTCTTTTAATCAGTTTTCATAAAAGTACAAATTTTTCTAAAGGTTTAAAGAAATCCAGAGTTTGTTTAGCTGGGAATTACTTTGTTGCAGATATTTTATACCTTCAAAAATCATTTGGACCCTCTTATGTGTCAACAGAAGTAGTGCTCTGTGAACAGTCTACCCCAGAGCCAACAAACACAGAGACAAATGAGGTGAACAGCTACACATATTAATCTGTTTCTGTTGAATTTAGAACTCCAAATTCATAAGTATTATCAATTAATCCCAAATTCAAAATGATTAATTATAATAGATTAACCCCAAATTCATTTTCATCAACTACTGGAAGAAAAAGTTAATAGTAATAAATAAAAATCCCCCCTGAGAAAAAAAAATATATATATATCATTTCTGTTTACAATTGTTTTTGTCATTTTTAACCACAGCAGCTGTTAAGAGAATGTTTTAAAAATCTATACTGAATAATCCATAGAAAACATTTGAGTCAGAGCAGATGAGGTTCAAAAAGAGCCTGCCATGCTTTCCATCAGCTTTGGTTTCAGATGATTTTAATTAGGAAGAGAAAAAATTATCTATCTAAGCTGAAGCATCTTATGTCAGCAAAATATGAGGGTTCATCCCTTTATTGAATCTGTCACCAAGCAAATAGATTTCAAACTCAGGATCCAATGTGAAAAAATCATTAGAAATATTTTGTCACCTTCAAAACTCGTAGGCAGAGTTGTAAATGTTAAAATTTACAACTCTGTTTGTTTTTTTTGACAATACGTACATGTTGCCATGTTGTGCTGTGCTGAAACATTCACATGATGAACTTTGAGGTTCTGCTCAGCTGAAGATCTCCTCAGATGGGAAACCAGATGATCTCTGCTAAGGTTGGTGCTCTAAAGAATATAAAAACAAAGAATTTCATTAAAGCAGATCTAATGCTGAAACATCATTTAACCAAAAGTGCATTATGAGACAGGAATAAATGTTGCTCTTTATGATGATAAAAGATGGAATGTCACCACTGATAAAGCTAATCTATGCAATAACCACACAGCACCTGGACTGAGAAAATGCATCAACAAAATAAGCCGACTGTACAATGATTTTCACACAAAGCTGAGGACATGTTTTTACAGATTTATTACTCACAGCAGACAGAACCAACCCAGTCTGCTTCCGTCTGTCAGCTGGATAATCTTCAGTTTAACAGAGAGGAAACCAGAACAGATGAGAATCAGCAAACAGAAACTGAGATAAAAATTGAGATAAAATAACCTGGCAGGTCGGATTGATAATGCCTACTCAGGTTTACTGTAGTTAGACTTATTATTTATCTCCTATGTTATTAAATGCACAAATTCTGCAAGAATTCAACTTGCTGGCGAGTTTAAAGTTAAAAGCTACATTTTGTAAAAACAACTTATGATTCAGGTAATTTTGCTTCCCTGAGGATGATTAACTGAAATGTTAGAATTAATCTAAATGGAATAATTCTGTCGTAAAACCAAGGAGTGGTGCAAGTGTGTCTCCTATTCTCTCTTTATCTAATCAAACTTGTTTACCAGAGGATTTATGTACTAAGTTAGAATTTAGAGGAAGGTCAGTTTTGCACCTGTGTACACCCTTTGATTGTATAGCTTCAAAGTTGGAGACATCAATACCCTCTAGACACCTTTCATCTAACTGAGGGTCATTTTTTTTATTTTTAAGCTCTTAATTTGGGATTTTTATTCAGTGCAAGTTTATATTTAGCACAGATTACATTAAACATTTGATGAGATGAGGAATCTTATGTAAACAGACCTGTGACGATGAGGGTTGTGTATCTCTGATGCCGTCCAGCTCTGTTCTCTGCAGTACAGGTATACTTTCCTGCATCCAAGTACTGGATTCTGGAAATATGCAGTGCTCCGTCTTCTATAAGAGTTATGCAGCAAACAGAGTGGAAATGTAGTTAGATCTTGGCTGAATGAGAAAAATGTCCTGTGCATCTTCAAATCTCACCATCAACATGAATGGTTTCAGAGTGGCCTACAGGAGACTGGGATTCTGTTCTGGTCCAGCTGTAAGTGATGGGTAGTATCCCCACTGCTCTGCAGGGAAGGATCACTGATTCCCCAATGTTGCTGCTCATTCTGCTTATATGGGTCACAATAATGGGACTCACTGTGAAAAGACATTTGAAACCAATCATATTACAAAAAAAAAAACAAGAAGATGCTGTACAAACAAGGTAAGTGTTATTTTGTATTGATACTTAAAAGGAATACACCTTTTCTTTAGAATCACTATTCTCTTAAATGAAGGGTTCCTCAGGGCTCAGTTTTAGATCCCTTCCTTTCCTCTTTTTGTAATTATTCCTTTGCTATACTTTCAGGAAGCATGCAGTTTCTTCCCACAGCTATGCAGATGACTTCATAATTTAACTCCCTTTTAAACAAGGGGTTCCTGAGTAGAGCCAGGATTCTTCAAATATATTGATGAAATGATGGTTTGTAGGCTTCTAATCCTTCTACATTTCAAAAAGTAAAAAGAGAAGCAAATCATTTTTTGTTTGCAATTTCTAAGACCTCCACTGCAGATTTGGCTTCTTTATCATCATCTTTGCTAATCTGGGAAGTAAAAAAATACTGATATACTTGAAAGCCAGATTAGAGCTGCAGTAAGATTAAGCTTTTATCATTTAGGCAATTACCTATAATAAAATCCTATTCCTTCAAGGTAGCCGTTTGAAACAGTTATACAGGCATTTGTTAAATCTAGGTTAATTTAATGTTTATTTTTATGCTGATGCATCCATTTAGTGTCTGTAGATTGAGAAAAGTCCTGCGGACCATTTTTAACTAGCACAAGAGAAAATCCCCCCATCAACTACATCGTCTTGTAGATGTCAGGACCTATAAAATACAGAATTTTTTCTTCTTTTTTTCTGGTGCATTATCTGGGGTTAATTTTGTGTCTGGTGATGCATTTATTTGATTAGATATTTTACTGTAGATCACTACAGTATCCTAATATCCCAGATTACATGTAAAGATTGCCTAATGATTATTATGGAATGTTTGTGAACCCTAGAAATATATCCTCCTCACTCTTAAAGTGTTACACTGGTGATTTAAAATAATTGTTCTAGAATTAAAATCTGACTTTATTACATTTTTCTGTGTAAAAATATTCTGCTTCAATAAAAGATCAGTTTACTTGAAATAGTTTTGAACATTTTGGGGATTCATTGTTTTAGTGTGGTGTCGTCACACTATCGCTTAAAATGGTCAGAAAAACAACATTTGACCTTGTTATGACTGACATACGTTCCCTTAGTTTAATTTATCCCTTCATTAGCAAGTTCTTGCCTTTTCTTGAATCCAAAAACCTATTTTTTTAGAAATGCACATTAAAAAGACAGAAGGTAAGAGTAGGTGTTACCGGCAACTCTCAGCATGGCTGTGCTTTGGCTTTTTCCCAGTATGTTGGACGCCTCGCATACGTAGACCGCCTCATCATAGACTCTGGCTGATTGGATGTAGAGAGTAGCATTTCTCTGTCTGGATAAGAGGGATATTAGTTTATTACAACAACAACCAAAAAAAAGGAACAAGCAAATCAGACATAATTCTTTTTTAACAAACTAGATGTTCTTGACACATTTTAGAGGTCTTTATCAGTGGTTCCCTAATCTTTTTTAAAGTCTGCTTTAAGGTTTTCCTTCTTTGACTTTGGCTTTTTTTTAACCTGTCTCTGTCCAGTCGTTACATCTGACCATTCCAGCATGTGAGGGGAAAAAAGAGAAAACATCAAGCATAATAGGAAATAAGGAAAATAATTCACCTTAGACCTGAATCGTGACCTAAGGCATAAAATGTATCAAATAGTGTGTATATAATCACCTATTCGAGCTAAATGAAACTTTTTTCTGCCTGTCAAACTGCGTAATAAACTGTATCTTTTAGAGTTTCTTATAAACTTTTTTACCTCATGGCTGGATTATTGCACTCCACTCGGTGTCCATACATTTTAGAATTCATTTGAAAATTATTTTATTTGCTTTTAAATCCCTGAATGGGCTTGCCCCACCGTACCTCTCTGAGCTTCTACATCCTTATAGACCTACTTGCTTTCTCAGGTCAGATGGTCATAGGGGACCACGCTTTCGTTGTTGCAGCTTCAAAGCTCTGTCACGAACTTACTCAGCACATTAGACAGGCCTCTTCTCTGACTGTTTTTAAAACTCATGTCAAAAAAACACCTTTTCGCTTTGGCTTTTAACACCTAGTAAGACGGTGGGCTTTATCTTATTATTTATCTATGTATCTTCTTTTATCTTTTATTCCGTTTATAGATAGAAAATCAATTTGACTGTATGATCTTGTGAACTGTAAAGTCCCTTGAGATCACATGTGTTGTGAATTGGAGCAATAGAAATAAACTCAATTTAATTTAATTGAATTATCTTTTACCCAATTTTATTGACTTGATTGTGTAAATTTTATTTTTGCCAATGTTTTAGCTGTTTAGTTTTTTAATCTGTACTGTTATGTTTTATTTATTTATTTTATTTTATTTTATTTTATTGTGCAGCACTTTGGTAAGTTGTAGTTGTGTTTAAGTGCTTAACAAATTAGTTGAATTGGACTGGATAAACCCACAAATTCAAGGAAAGGCTCTCACTCACTGTACTGCTCCCAGTCAAGGATTTATTGATGTAACATTCATGACCTTCATCGACAGATATCTCTGCCCTACAGGCATATACATCCCCTCTGGGTAAAACTGAGCAATCCAGGTACTAGAGAGCTCAAACTTTATTGAGTTTAACCTGACAGAGGTCAGTAATATTCACAGGAAGATCACGGAGTTCTATTCATGGTATGAAAATTGTTTTTTCGAAAAACAAAACAGGTTTATCTCTAATATGATAGCAATTTAAACTTTATAAATAGGAGCAAGTATACCAATATTTTTAAAAATCTTTTTTAGATTTTTTCAGGTCTTCAAGCAACAGTAAACCTCAATAAATAATCAACATCTTTTTAGGAAGAAGCAAAGCAGTATTTTGCTTTTGTCCAGAAGCCTCTTTATAGCGCAGCAGAAACAGAAGGATAGGCTACAAGCATAAGAATTCAAAGTTATTTAAAAATGTTTTTTTTTTTGTTTTATGTTATGTCTGGAATGTCCGTCTGAAATGAAACATCAATTAATCCTTTTTTTTAGACACGTTTTGGGTTAAGCCCTCTGCCTATACATCTGTGCCTTCAGGTGTGTGAAGATTTTGCATTAACAGCTTTTTTTTTTTTTTTTTTTTTTACTATTAGGGGCCTTTTTTTCTTTTTACTCCAGTAGCCTTTTCCACTATCAGGTAAGATGTCTGGGCTTTATTTACTCACTGCATAATTCAGGAATAAATTTATCCAAAAAAGGGAGATAGCAGTTTGATTTTCCTTTGAAACGTTGCATAAGTTTTATGATAGGTGTGCATTTATTAGTTTTTCTTTAGTTACCTATTTAGTTTACTTATTCTGAGAGGATTATGATTTCACATAATTTGAGAAAGTTCAGATAACGATGTTTTGTCTTTATAAGTTCATGGTAGGTTGATTCATTATTGGGGTAAATGAAAAACTCAAGAAATTCTCCAAGATGTCAAGAAGTAAAGAGTGGACTTCCACAGGTCTGGCTCATCCTTAGGTACAATGAAGGTGAAGGTGTTAAAACAGCACGGGAGAGTCCATGCAACCTATCATTCTAGGTAGAAAGAGGTTGTGTGTCCTAGGGAAGATTGTTTTGGTTATAGAAATGCATAAGAATGTTAGAAAAATGTTAAAGAGGTCATCAAGGAATGGACTGAAGCTGGTGAGATGGTTTCGTTACCCACAGTAAAACGAACCTATGCTCACTTGGACCACTCTTCAGAAGAACAGCTGTTTCAAAAACAGCTCTCATGACGTCCTGATGGTAGTCAGTGGGAGAGGTTAAAATGGATGGAATGCAAAGCGGACACTAAGCTGTGTTATGAGAAATGTGACAAAATACTAGAAAATTATGTAATTTTTTATTGTTTAGGAGCTGCTTTTCCCAAATACTTGGAAAATTTATTTCCTTATACTTTCAATTGCAATAAAAAAACAACACAATTGAACTGTTAACTGCTGTAACACCACAATATCCCCATTGTTGGAAAAATAAAGGGATTTTCTATCCTTTTCTATTCTATTTAAAGGTGAATACATTTTTACTTTTGTGCAGCATATTGGTCCGGTAAGTTTTAAAATGCTACATCTATAAAAGTTGGATAGGATTTGATCTTTTTAAGTATTAAATACAAAATTAAGGCATTCCTTATGAATTGTAGGATTTTCTTACACTGTTTTATTATATGCACCAACATAACTTACCCCAGTGCTATCTTGCCTCCAGTTTGTTTGGAGTGGCCTCTTTTCATCCAGCTGATGGAGGGCAAAGGATGACCGGACACCTCACACACCAGCATTGCCGGGGCTCCCACAGGAACGGTCAACACTGTGGGCCACAGTTTCACTAAAGGTGGGGCTGTGGGAAGACAGAGAAAGAGATAGAGAGAGACACACACACATTTTCATCAGGCAATCTTCACACTGGTATGGGGTTTGCATTAATACCACACCTAGAACAGTTAGAGTTGCTTTTTTAGAGGTGAGGAATATTTGGAGGTGTCGGTTCGAAGCCCTGCAGAAGTAGCTGCCGCCATCCTGCTCCTGGATGCTGAAGGAAAATAAATACAACTGACTTGGACTAAATAAATACATATAAGAAATAAACAAAAAAATCATCTTTAATTCATGCATATGTTTTTGTTTTAAAAGAGAGACCTGTTAAAGAAGAGATCACCACTGGGCTGCACTGTCATGTTCTTTGTTGGAATGAGAAGCTGGTTGTTTTTGAACCAGGACACGTCAGCTTCTGGTTGGCTGTGTGGTGGTCTGCAGGTGAGCGTGACATTTTCTCCTGATCTTACTGTCAAGCTAGTGGGTTGCTGCACAAAACTCCAATGCATGTCTGAAAACACACTGGATGCTCAAAATTCTGACAGTGTTTGTACTTTGATCATTGAGAACATTTCCTGGTAAATTAATGTTTTTTAAAGACACGGGTTAGTACTGTAGATGGTTCAAAGTACCGAATAGAAGCAGGAAAGCTGACTGAGATTGAACAGTCTCCTCCTGGTTTGATGCCACACAGTGATATGAGCCCTCATCCTTCTCTGTCACATTTCTGAGTGAAATAGAAAGGAAACAGAAAGTAAAATCGCAAATGATTTACAGATACTTTTATAAAAGGAAGTGTAAATTGTTGTGACAAAACAAAACAAAAAATGCAATAAAACAAGAATAATAGAACTGTATGAAATGCTGTAATTTGCACCAAAAATAAAACAGTAAAGCTGTAATAAAATCCGTCACTACACAAATAAAAATGCTGAGCTTAGAACTGAGTTTAGAAACTGGGGTATTTTAAATACAACTTAACTTTTCATCAAGCTACAGGAAAGCTGCTTTTCTAACCTTCAAACAAACAGGCCTCAAGCATTAACATCCCAACAAATATTTTTCTGTAATTTTTACAAATAAATATTACAATGTTTTAAAAGTACAGTGTTGATGAATGTTGAAAGTTTTCTCTGTAGGAAAGTGATTTAAATGATTGGTGTGTCTCTTAAAGATGCATCAATAATGTTGATATTAGAGATGCACTGATTTGATACCTATTGACTAATTAGCTGGAGCAGATATCAGAGATCCAATCCAGTGCCCTTTACATGGAAATGCTATCTCTTTCTTTTTCCTGCCTACTTGTTAATAAATAATAGTAAAAAGTAAAAAGACATATGGTTCATCAATTCCACAGTCTAATCGGATCGGTATCGGATATTGCCAGATATGTTCAGGTATACTGATCCGATCGGAATACAAATGGATCGGTGCATGTCTGTTTGAAATCATTTTATCTTTTATTGCAATAATATCAGCTCTTACAAAGAAAATTAGGAGAAAAAAATTAATTTATAAACCTTTACCTTGTAGAGAAGGAAAATCCCACACTAAGAAAAAATATTTTTCAACAGAATCACCATTGACACCATGCTGACGGATAATATAAAACAAATGAAATGGGAGCTTTTTCATTTTTTATCATTTATATACTATAATTTCTATTCGTTTAGTATTTTGTGAACTTTTAATGTGTAATCATGAGGCTAGTGAAAGGTTTAAAAAAACTTCTCCAGAACTTCTCCAGGGAGAAAATAACAAACTGGGTAACCAAGTGATTTCAGTACCTGTTAGATACAATATAAAGGATTGGAGGACATTTAGAGGAATGCAAGAATTAGTTTTTTTCTCCCCCAGAAAAGGCTTACAGGCCTTTGTTAGAAATTAAGTTAATTTATTTTTATTGAGATAAATAAAATGTGTCAGTTGTTGCAAAATGAGTCATCTGTGTCCATAAGTGGTATCCATACATGCTTTTTGAGTGCCTAAAGGATCTGTAGCATAACATATCTTCTGCTCCATTAAAGCTGTAGCCTGTCAGAACAAATGAAGATGAATATCCTGTTCTTTGGAGGGTCTGACCTCAGTATGAGCAGCTGTCCATTGTTCATGAGGCTGAATGAGGCCAAGCAGCTCTGCAGGAGACAGCCGTCTTTGAACCAGTGCACCATGGGAACAGGGAAGCCGCGGACTGTGCATTGCATGGACACCTCAGTTCCCGTAGTAACCGTGATGTTGTCAGGGCCCTGGATGATCTTCAGGCTCTGAGGAACCCCTAGTGGAAAGAATGACTTTGTTATGTTGCACCTCATTCCTAACAGCAAAGGGTTATGTTGCTCATTAATGATTAATTGTTGCAGAACTGTCAGTTTTAAGTTTAGATCATTTATTAAAGAAGTTGTTCTCACCTTCCACAGTTAGTTTTGCTGGTTTACTCCTCTTGCTGATGTTCAGGAAAGAGTTGTGTGTGACACAAATATATATCCCATCATCCTCCAGTGTTACGTTAATAAGGTGCAAAGTTCCTGACATTTTCTTCTGTTTACCTCCTCCATATTCCCCCTTGACAGGAAAGCAGATGATCATAATAAAATTAGTCTAGCTTCATTTTATCAAGTGCTGCATTTCTTTCTTTTTTTTTTTTTTTTCCAATCTACCAAAAACTCAAGATTTAGGGCAAATTCCCTATAACTGATAGGATTATGGGGATAAATGAGCTGAGAAAGTTTCGGGAAAGCATGAACAGGAGAAAATAGATCAACAATTAAAGAACAAAACAAGGAACAAATATCAAGTAACAAAAAGATAAATATTTTCTCTTCTTTGTATGTTTTTATGGAGCCATTAACAGAAACATCATGAAAATTAATATTTTCAAGCTTAAAATAGGAAATATTGTTGACTGAGTGCAATATTTTTTCATTTCTTTTTATTTGATGTTAGGATTTCAAAACAAATTTTCTTTTTGTTTTTTACCCCACCTGATATAGTCTTCCTCTTGTAACAATCTGTCCATCTTTAAGCCATGTGATGTTTGCTGGAGGGGAACTTTCTCCAGATACACACTGCAAGAAAACCGCCTCTCCTTCTTTGACTGTCTGGTCCTGGGGACTAAAGAAAACATCTTCCAAACCTGGAAATCATTAGAAAAACATTTTAAAGATGTGTTTGATGCATCGTTGAATCAGCAACCATGCAAAATTCTGAATATTTTACTTTTTTTTTTTTTTAAGTTGTTGATGACAACTTTCTGTTTGGTTTCACGATTACCGGTATGTAGAAATTATCAGAATGGATATCAGGGCACTTAGTAGGATGTTGAGATTTGGGAAAAGAAAAGAAAAATACATTAAATTTCTGAAGAATTATGGGTTTTAAACTCAGAAATAGAAGAATTTGCAGGCAGAACACAGATGACCTGAAAAAAATCAATACCAAGTTCCATAATTGAACATTTCTGGCAAAGTAAAAGATCAAAAGGCTTATGGAGTCTATATATACAGCAAGGAGCAAAACTATTGCATGAATCAATGCATAAAAGGCAAACCATTATTAAAACCAAGTTAAATGTAAATCCCTTTATTGTCCCACAACAGGGAAATTCAGTCTGCATTGAACCCACCCCCTTGGGGAGCAGTGGGCTGCAATTGTGTGTACCCCAGGGAACAGTGGGGGATTAAGGGTTTTGATCAGGAAACCAGAGTGGAGTCTGTGGGGATCAAACCAGGTTTTTGCAACGTTTCCAGAGCACAAGCACACAGCTCTAACCACTAGGCCAATCCTCCCCTTAAAGCTTTACACTCCTCTGCAATCAGATGCAATAGGAAAGATCTTGCAGAAGATGAGCCAATAGTAACAATATAGTAAAACACAAATTCATGTACAGTGACTTTGTAGGAATGGTTTCTGTTTAAAAAGGCAAACCAAAGAAATTACTCTTACTGATTAATAATGCATTCTTTAGAGTAGTTTTTTTGCTTTGGGCATTTTAGGGTTTAATTACTAATACATTCTGCTTATTTCTTCACAGCTTAAAATAATATGTGGTGCAACATCTGCAAGACACTTGAAAAAACTTTAATTCTTATGCATCGTTTTAATATCATTAATAATAATATTTCTGTCCTGCATGTAAAAAATTCACAAAATGTTGCAAAACAAAATCATTCAAAAGTCTTGATGTAATTTATTCAGTTATATTCAAGAATTCATGAATCTTTCACATAGAACCTGTATTCCCGTTCCCTCAAATACAGATAGATTAGAATATCAATGTAAAAAAGGAAAAGATTATTTGCATGAAAATTATTATGTAAGCCATTACAGCAATAAAGTGAAAGATAAACCAGCAAGACTCACCAAAAGGAGATGCGACTGCAGAGCCAAACAGAATGAACAAGCAGACCAGAGGAGTCATCTGCTGGACGAAATAGATGGACAAACAAACCTGCATCCTACTGCAGAGCTCCATCATAAGAGGGAAACAAGCAACACACAGCTTTATCCATGATGCCAGTCTATAGTGTGCACATAAAAGTGCATCTATTTAAATGATTTTTACAAAAAGGTCAAGCATATTAAGTGCTGCATAATGTTTTGCATTATTCTGATATCTTACTCTCCTACACAAAAAAAAGCTCAAAGCAAAAACTACTCAGCATCTGTCACTTTCTCTCTACACTAGTGAGATGGTTTCGAACAGATATCTAGTTTTTGATCAGTTTGTGGCAAATATATTCAGCAGATGGATTTAACATAATTCACTCCCCGCCCCTTGTTCTCTTGAGCCCTCCCTTGGCGCTTTGCTTCGTTCCTATTTTGGTTGTGAGTCTGTGTTGCACCACGGCGAGCCCAGCTTTGTCCTCTTTAGACCCTTGAATGGACACAGCCACTTTATAGAGCTCACATGGTGGCCCTCCACTCAATGAAAGTGACATGAAAAGAGGCTGCGCAGCTTTGTACTGTGAAGATCAGTTATTGGCCCCTGCAAGGACAGCTACCCGTCTGATCGCACAGGCTTTCATGATCCTTAGTTTGGTCATCGAAAGGTGCCTGATGAATGTGAAACAAAATTTGGGTTTTGTACAGATAAAGTTACATAGTATTCAACCTAGAGTGCTCACAGAGAAAAGCTGCAATTAGAAATATATTAAATTAATTTATGCAGGTGACACAATCATATTCTTCAACATATATCTATCTAAGAAAAACCAGCTGATTGACTCTCTACAATCCCTTGCACTGAGCATGCATGTAGTGACAGTGGAGAGGAAAAACTCCCTTTTAACCGTAAGAAGCCCCCATCAGGACCAGGCACCGTGTGAGCGGCCATCTGTCGAGGCCGATAAAAGCAGAAAAAAATATTCATGACATAAATTATTTGTCGCTCGGCAGAAGACTTCCTTGCTGTGGATTAACATACACTTGGATGAGTAACTTAGAAAAGGATTACAGTAGTCTTCCCCCCTGGGACCTGCACACTGGTGGTGGAATAAAGCAGAGGGTGAGTGAGACTGAGAATGGTTTGGGAAAGAGAGAGACGATGAAGTGGGTGAAAGCTTGCTTTGCTTGCAAGAGAGAGAAGCTAGCTAAGCCAGGTGCTAAATGAAGCGGATATTGAGAGATGATTGGCTTCAGAGAAGATGCAGCCCCGAGTTGATTGGCTGGAGCTAAAAAAGGACAATGCAGGTGTTTCAAGTGAAGCAGATGAGTCTTCCAGATTTAATTTTCGCTTAAGCTTCATGCAGCCGTTGATCAGATAAATTATAGATACATTTAAAATTAATAATAAAATATGATGCCGAACAAATATTTAAAATCCTTAAACTTTTTCACATTCTTCTGCACATTATTCTGCACTAGATAGAGTTGATAGACTAACACAGTGGTTCCCTAAATGTAATTGCAAGAGTGGTATGCTGGAAATGAATTAAATAAATAGCCAATTTTTTGAGACATTTATTTAAAATGTATCGATAGCAATGCTGATTCAGCTACACAGTAAAATACATGTTTAAAATTAAAATAATTGTCTTTAAAAGTGACAGTTTTGTAATTTAAAGGAGATTCTAGTTTATTATCAATCTGTAATTTACTGTGATTGAATTTTGTTTGTTCTGTACTGTAAAATACGAAAATACTTTCTGAAAACCACAGGGGGGCTAAACAGGAAAGTTTTGGGAACCACTGAACTAAAACAAAGTCATAAATAAAAGAGAAGTTGGAAAAATAAGACATCACTATGTAATAAAAGTCATACAGGTTGTGGTTTACCTTTGGGACTGGTCAGTTGATTGAGTCATTGCAGCAGCAAGTCATTCCACCTTCCTCACAGATTTGGCTAAGTTTTTACACTGGATGCCTTACTGACATAATCAGGATCTAAACCCATGTGTCAAAGACACGGAATTAGGCCTCTGCAGCAAAAAACAACACATTTTCTCAGTTAGCACCTTTAAGAAATACTTTTCACTAAAATCATGGCTGAAAGTTCATTTTGTGTGTTTGCCTACAAACTTTGTACATTTCCAGGCTAAAATTTGCCAATTTATTTTAACTTATTAGCTCAGGTTAAAAGAAACAGCAGTATCTGAATCTCTGAAAATTTTTTATAGAATGTTGATGTTTGTCTCGTTCTTCTGTGGAAATGATGCCTAAACCATAACGCAGCAATCACTGTGTTTCACAGTGGATGTTGTTGGAGGTGATGTGCAATTACATTCCTGCTGATGGTTGATGTAAGGGTTTTAGGGTACATGGACACACAAAATCTTCAATATTTAAAAATTTAAACAGTTTTGAAAACCACAGGTCATTAATCTTCCTTTTCCATGTCTTACAGTTGTAATTGCATTGTTTCAAAATCCAATTTCTCTTTTTCTACTTTGTTTTTTATTAAACCATTGAACTCACAGCTTACTCAGTAAATTGTTGAACATTACAGTATATATTATTGCAGAAAAGCTAAGTGAGATGAAAACCTCATGTACAGTACTGTTTCATCCATTGAGGTTTTGCTAAAAACCCCAAGTGAAGACGATAAAACATGTACAGACAGTCTGCAAATCCATACTGTAGTGGAGGCATCATTAGTTAGCTTTCTGTAAAGCAAACTGGCCTAAACACACCAGACTATTAGGATCCTGAAACTTGATCTTATCTAATGAAATAAACATATCAAAACAACTTTTTCCTTTTTGAATTGTGGGCTGTGTTTGGTTTTTTTTATTAGTGTTGCTTTCTTATGCTGCTTTTAATATAAGAAATGTTGAAATGTCCTCAGTGCACTTCAAATAGCATCAGTATGATAAACTATTCAGTTCCAGTAAAAAAACAAAAAAACATTTACACTATAAACTGAAATATTCTCATATATTAAGACGTAAAACCTGTTGTGATAGTACACTCGACCTTACTAAAGAAATCATTATAATTGCAGAATTAACATTGTTCCTTATTGCGCAGCTAAATGCGTTAATGAATTGCTCAGTTGGTTTCCTGTAGAGCTAGTGGCTGCTTGTGCTAACACAATGCTAAGAGCCTGTGGGTGTTTTTATTTGTTTGACTACCAAGGCACCCAGTGGATCATTTACACTGTTTAGCATGTCATTAAAGGGATTTTTACCTCTGCACCATCTTTGCATCTTCTTTTCTCAACCATTCTTTTTACCTTGCAAAGGTATTGACATCCATCCACTCATCCATCTCTAAACATATTTTTGCTTACAGGTTTGTTGGGGGCTGTTGTTTATTTTCAAAAGTCATTAAGCTAGAAGCAACCAGTCCTGGACCAGTCCTGGGTTGTCCAAAATAATCTTGCAAATTCCAATGTATTATATCTAATTACAGACAAACACAAAATACTTCATAAATAAAATATATTGGGTGCTAGTCTCATTAAATTTAATGTTGCAAAATAAAATCCATCCTAAGCAGATGTCTTCATAAATAATTTAAATAGTCCAGAGGTTTAGCATGCATAGTTTAATCACAGTATCCAAACATCACAGCCGACAATTAGAAAACAATAACCAAAATGTTGCATGCTAAGAGAGGAAAAATGTATGATCTGAGATTAGAGGAAAAGTGTGGTACAACTTCAAACCTAAACAGATATAGGCCTCAACCTAATTCCTTGATCAACAGGAACACTTACTCAACATGCAAAATATTCTTTGATGCAAAAAAAAAAAAAAAACCTTAATAGATAACTTTGAACATATCGTCATAAACATCCATGGTGGTGGAAACATGTGTTGTACAGTAGGGATACTTTTCTCCAGTTGGGACAGGAAAGCTGGACATGTGGGATGGAGCCAAATAAATGTCATGGAGTAATATTAAAGAAATTTCACATGCTTTTTTTTAATATATTCTAAACACAAGATCCTTACACAAAGGCCTTTTGGGTTACCAGAAACGTTTTATTTATTTAAACTAAAAAAATAAAAAAATATATAACACCCAGCACATTATTGAATAAATGAACATAATGACACTAATTAATTGATTTTTAACAAGGAGAGTATAGTAATCTTAATTAATCGGTCAATAACCATTCCCAGGACTGTGTCCACATAAATATAGGTTAATGGGCAGCATTAGCACCCAGTCCATCCATAAAGGGAATGTGGAACAATGTCCAAAATATCTTTTTTTATTTTTTTTTAATATAAACTACAAACAGCTTTAGAGGAGACAATCAGTTGAATAAGTGTGGTTATATTGAAAGTCCACTTTGCTTTTCAAGATTTAACAATATAATTTTGTGTAATTCTGCTAGAGTTTCTATGGCACTATTACTTTCTAGTGGTGCAATAAAATTGTCTTCCCAGCATTGCCTACATCTAATGTGGTGTGAATTGGCAGGCTTACAGAATTTCTTGACTATTAAAAAAGTACAAATTCCACTGTAAGTTATGTAACATGTTTTAATGCAAAATTAGATTTGGTAAGTACAAGCAGAGCTGTCTAGTTGCTGTTTACTCACTCACATGGGCAAGGCAGCAGCGAGCATACTACAGCCAGATGAAGTCCTTGCAAATGTAAATTGGCGGTCTGTTCAGCATAATCAAATGGAAATGAAAGAACAATTGTGCCGATTTATAATCTATGCAGGGAGCTCTATTTTAATAATGAAGAACAGACATAGCTGGTGAAATGTTACATCAACATGATAAAGCCACATGTTGAAAATGTACAGCTTATCGCAAAAATGTAAAAGAAATAAAGGAAACTGGACAAATGGGGTATCAGGTGTACTAATCTCTATAAGTGGTGTCATTTATTATTCATAACTTCTAAGAAAATTCATTTTATTATCACACTTTATTACACTTTAAATGTCATTAATCCATGTTACTCAGGAGTTTTATTATTGAAAAATGTATGTGAAAAAAAATGTTGTTGGGTTTAAACAAAAGACAATCATCTGATGTTTGTGTTTCTTGTTTTTTGTAAAGATGACCTTCAGCAATCCTCCCATCAGCTTTAATCTGTCATGATCTTGGCACTGATGACTGGTCAGATTACTTATTCCATTCACCTGCCTAGCTCCATCCAGTTTCTTGTTATTGTTCATCTGATTTACCTGCTCCAGTCTTTATTTAACCTGCCTTCTACCATTCATCGGTGCCAGATTATTTGAGCCCTTGGTAAGAGTTTTTGAGCATATCTAGCTGTTTCTGATTGCATGACCTGACCCATTCTGCCTCTGGACCTCTGAGCTGGCCCTTTCCTGTCCTGATCTGTTAGCCTGACCTCTTCGGACACCTGCTTGATTCTCCCTGTTTACCGACACTAGAACTGATTCCTGAGACCATCCTGGATTTCCCTTCGGTACCTCTTCAGATCTCTTACCTCCTGGCCCGGACTCCTGACATGTCTTTGAGAAAGGCTTTGGCTTTACCCGCTGGATTATCCTGCCTTTCTTTGACTGCTTGGTTCTTATCTCCCGCCTTCTGGACTTTAATGTCTGGTACTCCTAGGCAGCTTCCGCCGTGTCTTGTCGGCAACCAACCGGCTGGAACCAACCACTGGGCACGGACTGAACTTTAAGACCAGGTTAGTGAGTCACACATTCATAATCTTCCTCCGCCAGATAGAGGTGGACACTAACCTGTGTTCTCTCCCTGCAGAGGTTCCTTTCCTGCCTTAGACACCCTTGCAGTTTTCTGCAAATTGGTTTACTTAATAAATGTTGTTGAGAAATCCAACTGTCTGTCTGCTTCAAAAAATGTTTCCTACTTTCTAAGCCTTGACATTAATCATTAAAACCTCACTCAAATTGAAAGACTTTCTTATTTTTGTTATATAAACATGATCCTGCAGAGGATCATTATATTTCATCATATTTAGAAGGTATATACACATTTACACATATAGCGCTCATTTTTAAAGATTTCGATAAAACCTTATTTCTGGGATTTTTGCTCAGGTACATTGAATGAACTAAGAATTATCAGACATTTCTACATGATGGTGGATGACTTGGAGCTGAATGTTTGTTACTTAAAACCAAAATTGTGCAAGAACACAGAAAACAGATGTGAAGAGGAGGAGGCCTGGAGAGATGAAGATGGGATGCGCAGTGTCATGGAGTTCAGTTATACACAGAGCTCGCTCCAACATTTGATGAGTCTCAGCACTAATCCCTGGAAGATACAATATTTTAATAGCAGACTTATATTTGGTTTGAATAACATCAGTTTCAGAGTGACTCATTGTTAAACTTACCATGTTGGGACCACTCCCTCCAGGCGTGAACATATTCAGGATCATATTCCCCCCGAGGAGCTGTTTCAGAGGGACACAACACACTACGCTAAGCAGCATTCTTTTTTGTCATAGTGGTTTCGCTCTGTTATAACTCCATTCCTACCTTTCGAGTGCTCTGTCAGAAGGTGCTTCAGCTCTCTGAGGGCTCGGGTGAGGTTTTCCAAGCGGTGCTGCAGGTGGAGGTTTTCTTCTTTGAGAGTATGGATAGTATCCTGCAGCTCGTATGCTGAGCTGCACCTTGAAATCAAAGAGATCCACCACACCACTAGGGTGACTTGTAGGATGGACAGCATCTTCATATCAATTGATAACTAAATGTTGTTGGCATGTCAGCCACAGCTTGAATCCTTCTGGTTCTGTCTGCAGCTCCTTAGTGTTTTAAAGTGCTGACTGTGTTCTGTTTCTGTGTCAGAATTGATTCCCTGAGTGCTAAATAAATGATCCAACACACTTTAAACAGTCAATTGTTCCGTTTTGGTTCTCAGAGCCAAAATTAGTGAGCATTAGTGGTTAAACGGATCTGTAGTGTCACATGACCTTAAAATATAGTGATGCTATAAAAGATCCAGATCTCTGAAATGTATAAATAAATAAATAAAATGAAAATACATTAATCTATTTCTAAGTGCTAAAAAACTCAAACAGCGATGGATTGATATTAAAGCAACTGCTGCTTTCACTCATACTGATGTCTAAATATCAGCCAAGGTCAGGCCTGAAAACCAAGGAAGAAATTTTCAATATCTGGCAAAGTCTAGCTCTCTATGTATGAGCAGAACTGCGAGACTCGTGGGTGTATTTAGGTAGTTATTTGTGAAGCACCGCGAATAAAAGAAAAAAGTGAAATACTTTAGAAAACTATACCATTTATCACTTCAAAATGAAAACAATACAGCAGAAAGAGATAAAGAGTCAATGTAGCAATGAATGAGGAGTTTCCATATTTATACATTTATTAGTACTGGAACAATTATAAGAAGCCTAAGGTTAGCCAAGCTGACTACTAATAACAGATAAAAGGAAGACTGTCTTTCTGGATGGAAAGGCAACAAGTCACGATACAGCCTATAGCATGATGTCTCAAACACTACAGGTGGGAGATACCATTAAAAATGAAATTACAATCAATTCCAGAAATAGAGAAAAACTCTAGAAATTAGATAAAATTTATAAACTGCGAAGCCTAATTTACAGTGTAAACATATACAGTACTATCAGGGAATATTGCTTTTCTTTCTTTTTTAAAGCGTTCAACAAAGTATCTGTCATGGTGCCCTAATAACACCCACTTCTTCCTGCTGCTCTGCAACAGCAGTTAAACTCTTAAAGGAATAGTACACCCAAAACACGATTAGCCTTCAT